AAGAACTTTCTTCAGACCCAAATGAAGATACCCGAAGAAACAGTAAAAAAACATCACCTTTCACGGGGTACATCGCCTTGGAGCTAAAAGGACAGCAAAAGACCTCGTCCCATCGTGGCTAAATTTGAACTTTTTAAGCAGAAGGATCTTGTTAAAAGTCACGGAAGAGCGCTCAAAGGAAAAGACTTCAGCGTAAATGACCAGTTCCCTAAGGAAATCCTGGATCGGCGCCGAGTTCTCTTTCCGCTGCACAAAAAGTTTATCCAGGATGGGAGGAGGGCTGCCATCTCAGTGGATAAGCTTTATGTGGACAATAAGCTTTACAAGGAGCGAGGAGTGACAGACTGGCTGTATTAGCCCAACATCAGGTCAGACATTTATTATTCTTATCAGGATTCACTGGGTTTGAGCACGTCAGGATTAAACAGCTGCTAAATCCGTATTCTAGGTGATAAGATCACCTGTTCATCACCACTTCACACCCCTATCACCTTTTCTTTTTAGTTATTTCTTCTTCTTTAACCTTTATAATTCTGTCCATTCCTCTCTTTATCTGCTTCTGTACCTTCACATCTGTATGGCACAACCACACAACTTTCCAACACTGCGTCAGACTCAGCACGCATGTACACACACACACACATTAAATCCACAGCACAATATCATAATTTATGCGTCAAATAATACAACCACAAACACTGTTGGATCATCATTATTATTATTATTATTATTATTATTTACTTTTCTGTTATTTATTAACATACTATTTTATAAATTAAGTTACTTATTCCATCTTATTCACATGAAGGCGTCATATTCTAGCTACTCACACACACATCTATGGGTGCACTAATGTTGGCTGGCTGGCTCCATAGAGAAAAGATTAAAGATTTTTGATCAGCTAAAGAGAGTGCAAGCAGACGTAATATTATTACAAGAGACTCATAGATCTGCCACATCTGCAGATGAACGTAAAACACCTGAGTTTCCCAGCATGTTCTCTGCCTGCTATAATTCTAGACAAAGAGGTGTAGCTATTTTAATACACAAAAACATCAATTTCACAGTAATGGACACAGTTTCTGATCCAGAGGGTATATTTATAATGTTAAAAATATCTGTACAAAACCAAAGCTTATGTAATGTCAGCATATACTGTCCAAATATTGATGACCCTTCATTCTTTCATATTTTTTCTCTGTACTCTCCGAACACTTGGACTGTCCACTTATACTTGGAGGCGATTTTAATTTTTGGATGGACACTTTAACAGACAGGCTCAGTACAGCTGGGAGTCAGCGCAATTGGCAATCCACTAACATAGTTAAACAGCACATGAGTGATTATGGGCATTGTGATGCATGGCAATCTCTTCATCCTAACCGTTGAGAGTATACTTTTTTCTCACACGTCCATCACACTCATTCACGTTTGGATTATTTTCTAGTCAGCAGCTCATTGTTGGCTGACATTTCAGACACTGAGATACACCCCATAGTTGTCAGCGACCATTCTCCTGTTTCTTTAACTCTGGTAAACAAGAACACAATCCCACCAAGCAAAAACTGGAAGTCATCACTGCTTAAAGATGAAAGTTTTATAGAATTTTTTAAAAAGGAGTGGGCTTTAAATTTAGAACATAATGACCTGCCTGGAACATCAGCATCTGTTCTCTGGGAGGCAGGAAAGGCAGTGATGAGAGGTAAAATAATCTCTTTCTCATCACATAAGAAAAAACAAAACAGAAAACAAACATATTCAGGAGTTAAAGGAAATCATTAAGTCTTTAGAGGCATTCACAGAAGAAGAGTTACTGAGCAAATTACGTAAAGCTAAATTAGAACTTCATGGAATTATTGACAAAAATACACAATTTTTAGCACAAAGACTATGAATAGAAAACTTTGAACATAGTAATAAATCAGGTAAATTTTTAGCTAGCCAATTAAAAATAAATAAAGAGAAAACTACCATATCTGCTGTTAAAGACTCAACCGGGAATATAGTTTATGACCCTGAAAGCATAAACAACACTTTCAGGGACTTTTACGAAACTTTGTACTCACCACAGATAAACCCATCAGATAATGAGATCAATGAGTTCCTTGACAGGATAACACTTCCTAAATTATCAGACAGCCAAGCTACAGTCCTGGACTCGCCACTAACATCAGCGGAGCTCCAGGAAGCCCTTAAATCCATGACTAATAGGAAGGCTCCAGGTCCAGACGGGTATCCAGCAGAGTTCTACAAAGAATTCTGGATCATTCTGGCTTCAACATTTTTCAGAATGGTGAGAGAAATCGAAGAGAGTAGCAGATTACAGCCAAACATGAATTCAGGCAATATTAGTCTCTTGTTAAAACCAGGCAAAGGTCCTGCTTTTCCTACCAGCTATTGCCCAATTTCCCTTATTAATGTTGATCTCAAAATAATTTGTAAAGCCCTGGCAAAAAGATTAGAGAAGGTAACCCCCTTCATAATACACCCTGACCAAACTGGTTTCATCAAGGGTAGACAGTCATCCACAAACTCACGTAGATTACTTAATTTGATAGATTTCTCTTACAGTAGAAACCTGCCTGGTCTCCCGTCTTCAGAGGGGGACCAGGCAGGGATGCCCACTCTCCCCCTCACTGTTTGCTATCTTTATCGAACCACTAGCAGCAGCAATTAGGCAAACAATAGGTATTAAAAGGGATAAAGTGTAAGAAAATAGAACATAAGATCAGTCTCTATGAAGATGATGTTTTTCTTTTTTTTTTTTTTTACCGTGTCCTGTCTGGCTGTGAAGCAAGCAGAATTGATGTTTGAATGCTGGTGACAAGCCTTACAGATTTATTCTCAGGTGGAGCATCAAAGCGTCTGCTTTTAATGTCACGCCTGATACTTAAAACTTTATTGTTATTGTTTTTGAATGCTTTGTAATTCTGACCAGACATGGAGACAGAGGTGAAAGAGAAAGGAAAAGACAAGGAGGGGAGAGAGGAGAGGGGGTTCCACAAAAATAAACAATAATGAACAAGAGTCTGCTTCTAGACCTGCAGAAAAAGACAAAAGCAAAAGGGCAAAAAAAAGGGACACAACTGCACTGTTCTGTGGTATCCTGTCATGTATCGGTCCAAGATAGTGTGTTTATATTGTGTTTTTCGTATATAAGAGACTTTTTAACATGGACATATTTTTCTCTCATTCTCCTCCACCTCTTCATGCGCTCCCCACCTCTAAACCTACGTTTCCTGTCATTTCTGTCCACAAATAAAACGCTTGCTGCGCATCTTTTCACTCCTCCAGTCAATAAGTTATTTTAAGTCTGATCAGAAGTCTCTATGCGTATTGTTTATTTGAAAACTATTTACAGAGCAGCCTCAGAGTTGAGAATAAATGTTTTTGATCACAATAGTAAAGGAACTATTACAGAAGAAGTTTTTCAATAAAATCAGAATATTAAAGTCCATGAATTAAGTGAGAGAGAGAAGAAAAGATCTTTTCTGTAGCGCCTCTCAAGATAAAAATCAAGGGGCGCTTCACAAAAACAAAACATGTAAAATAGAAAAAAGAATTTAGAAAATGATTAAAATATATTTAAAATAAGCAAAAAATAGACAATTGTGATTAAAAATGTAAAGAAAGAGAAAGAGTGAATAGGAAAGAGGAAGTGGATCCTGAGGAAGAGGAGAGAGAGAAAGGAAAAAAAAAACGACCGGATCGGAGGCAGTGAGTGACTGACGCAGCACGAGCCGTTTTCAGCTCTGTCTTGTCAAATGCACTTTGTACGTTACTAAAAAAGTAACTTTAAAAAAAAGCAAACCAAAGAAAACAGGGAGTACTGAAGAAACGTGAACAGTGAAGCAAGCACAGAGAGATCCGTTACTGTCTGCGTGTGTGCGTCGATGGACCGGACGCGGACTGAGCTGTGAGCTCCCGCTGCAGAGTTTTGTGTGTAGGGAGGGGCGGGCGCTCTATTTGACTGGCCAATCACAGAGCGTGAAAACAGTCAGTTACCCAATGAGGATTTTCCTTCAGCACGATTACAGATATTTATGAGTTTTTCTCGTTTCATGCTCGTACTCGTCAAAAATGCTTTATCCGTACCGGATACTCGTCTGAAACGAGTATCCGGCTCATCCCTATCATCAACACACACTAACACTATATTGGAGCAGGCGGAGGGAGACTAGGGGTCTTAGCACACCTCTGTTGTTGCTTGGCTTCCTGGGGCTGGAGGCTAGGAGGGAGATCTGGCCGTCTGGTTGGGGTCTGGGGTGGTGGGTTGCTGTGCTCAGCGTTGGGCGGGGGAGCCTGCTCATCAGCACACCAGCAGAAAGGGTCAAACTCTGGTAACCGGTGATGGTTGTACCCCATGTGCAGCAGTACCGGGACCAGAGTGAATAGGGTGTGTATGGGGAGCATGAGTGGGTGTCCGCCGTGCATTTTTGTAAGTCTTTGGTTGTTTGTGTATGAGTGAGCATGAGGGAGGGAGTGTGTGACTGTGTTTATGTGTATATGTCAGGTGGGGCCTTTGACTCCTCCCTTCTCCTGGGACTTCTTTTGATGATATAGATCTCCGTCTCTCCTCCCCCTGCCGCACCTGGTGTGGTGCATTACGGAGTAAAAGTTCGGCAGACGCATTTGTTTATATTTGGCCGGGGGGAGGGGGGACTCGTGCTGCACACAGACAGCTGGTGGGATCAGCTCTGAAAAGCGTTGATCACAGTTTGCAGATCACGTTTATTTTTCACTGAGATCGGCCGCGGATTCCTCTTCTGGTCAGCATTCTAGGAATCGAAATAAAAAAACTTTCAGCGATTCTGGGAAAAAAGAACAGTTGGAAGCGGTTCCAATCGATTCTCGATGCCCAACCCTACTCTTAAGGCAGTACATTTACCAACTCCTACACCAGCACAGACTGTTTGTTTCTCAGTGAAAAGATGCTTCCTCCACCTACCCCCCCCCCCCCCCCTCTTCTCTTTCTATGCTGACTTGCCAAAACACAGAGAACAGAAGAGGAAGCAGACGTTTTTCCTCTCCTCACCAAGATGGCTGGTGGTCGTCTAAGCTGCTTCTTCACATCCAGTCTTGGGCTGCTTCTCGGGGTCTACTTCTACAGTATGTGCACTTTTGATAGCATATCTTTCTGACTGACTGGAGTCGTAGTTATCTTCTTGATATGTCAGATACGTCAGTATGTGGTTGGGTGCATGCTTAAATTCTCAGGAAATGGGATCTTGCTGGAAGAGATTTTCATATTTGCATTTTTAAAGCTGAATAAACAATAATGTAGGTAAAAGGACATGTTGGCTCAGGTGCTGGGTAACTGTCCTGTAACCTGTGGGGTGCAGGTTTGAAGCCCTGCCCTGTCTTTCTCACGTGTTGTGTCTATAGACACTTTACTAGACTTGCCTGCTTGTGGTGGTTGGAGGGACTGGTGATGCTGGTTATCTGGCAGCCTTGCCGCTGTCAGTTTGGCTAAGAGCAGCTGTGACTACGATGAAGCCTAATACTATTAGTGTGTGAATGAATGACAGACTTGCTGCAGGGGTAAGCACTTTGGAGTTCTTGGACTTGATAAAGAGCTTTAAAAGTGAAAGCCAATCACCATTAATTACTTGTGTTATGCTTCAAACACTAACTTATCCTTATTAAATGCAGATCAATGTTTATTGAGAATGGTCCTCGTTGGTGGTTTGGAGTAATTCTAAAGGCAATGGAAAGTTGACATTTAGCGGTTCTGCTTTTCCAGTTATGCTTTGCGTGTTCTGGTGCTCTCTACCAGCAGATTTCCTGCTGCATCTGTGTGGAAAGTGTTGCAACACGGGGGAAAGGTTATCCTGTTTCTGCCCTTTCCTGCTTTGTTTTTACATTACAGGTCAAGTTGAAACAGCTCTTTGGTAGTCTGACTGACTGCTTTGCACTCGCAAATGTTTGAGGACCAAACATAAGAAGTAGTTTAACGTTTTCACATTGCTGGCGACATGACAAAAGAAAGTAGCTGACGTGTGAAACGTGTGAGTCAGACTGAAGAGACTCGCTTCCTGCAAGTTCTCCGCCAACACCAGCAGCACTGAGCGAAAGCTGGTTGTTCCACCGTGTGGTTTCTCGGCCTAGTTCCTGTTAAATGATGCAGATTTGACCATCACACACATCTAAGTAAACTTAGAAATGTATTTTGTTTTACTCTATGGGCAGAGGTTGCTCTCTTGATGCGTCAAATTTCAAAGATTTATGTTTTGTTAACTATCTGTAAATAAACAAGTTTGCAATCTCAATATAAAAGTGAAATAAGTGTAATCTATATCAACCAAAAAGCCTACAGGTAGATGAAATCTGCTGAATGCATTTTTATTAAATGCTGTTCGATTTCAAGTCAGCACAAGAATTTTGACGTGTCCCAGTTCTCCTATTCTAATTTATACCATTTACTCTAAAATAAAATAAAATAGAACCAAACCTTTAACATAAACATGTACTTTTGGTCATTTGATCAACAGAACATCTCAGTCTTGCAGATGTTTTTGACCAGAAAACTCTGTTTGTGTATCAAGTTCATAACTTGAGGTTTTTGCTAAATGAACAGTCATCAGTGGGTTTGTTAGAGAGCTTCCTCAGTCAGCAAACAAGATCTAATGATTATGATAATCAGCGATTCTCCAAAATATCAACACCCCCCCACCCCTTGAAGTGCAACGGCACAACGATTATTAACCTTTCAGATAAGCTGTAACCTTCAACTAATTAAAGTTGCTTCACCCTGTTTTAGGATGGGTGTGAGTTGGTTAGGGCGAGGGTTAGTCATTGCATGGAGGCAGGGTTGCTGGTGGACAAATCACCAACCCAACCTAGAGCCAGAAACGGCCACTCTTGACACTCAAGGACAACCTAACATGGGTGCTTTTGGACTAGCCAAAGAAAATCCACACCTGCATGGGAGGAACAAGCAAACCTCGGAAATAAAAGGTCCCAGTCGAGTTTTGAACATAGGAGGTGGTAACCAAGGCGGATGAAGCAGGTTGGCTGGTATCTCAGTAACTTCAGGTTACTCAGTTATTGGTCTATAGTTGTACTCATGACGTTATCAGTATAAAATCAATAATATCGTTTTCATGGTTGTTTTGTTTCAAAGATCAGAAGGATTTGTTTTGTTTGTTTGTTTATATCACTGTGTGTGTCACCTATGATATATTTAACTGAATCTATTTTATTGTAAAAACCAACAATTTATGCAGGAAAATTATGAACATTAACAAGGCTGCCCAACCTTTTGCAACCCACTGTATTAAAAAGGTCGAACATAGGTTAAGTTTGTGGGATGCACATCCAGGGCACGGAGCTCCCGTTCCACCACATCCCAAAGATGCTCTATCGGGTTGAGATCTAGTGACTGTGGGGGCCGTTGTAGTAGTGAACTCATCGTCATGTTCAAGAAACCAGTTTGAAATTATGCATTATCCTGCTGGAAGTAGCCATCAGAGGATGGGTACATGGTGGTCATGAAGGGATGGACATGGTCAGAAACAATGCTCAGGTAGCCCGTGGCATTTAAACCATGCCCAGTTGGCACTAAGGGACCTAAAGTGTGCCAAGAAAACATCCCCCACACCATGACACCTCCACCACCAGCCTGTGTGTGCGCGCGCGCGTGTGTGCCGGAGGATGAGTGTTGTGAAGGGTTTTTATTGTCAGACTGTTTTTTAATTTCTGGGGATGGGGGGAAGGTGGGTATGCGGGGCCTTTTTAATTTGTTAAGCACTTTGAGTTGCATGTAATTGCAGGATTAAGTGCTATATAAAGATTGATTGATTGATTGATTGATTGATGATAGAAAGTTTGAATTAATTCACCCAGTGTTAGAAAGGAGATGGCATCCTATTTATCTACTACTGAAGTTGTTGCTTTCCTGTAGAAATCATCCACCATGAGGTCACCTGACAAACATTTTATAACCAAAGACTTAACCTTGTTGACCTTTAGAGGAGTATCTGATGTAAAAATGACATCCTGTGGTAAAATGTGGTTAATGCAAACACTTTTAACAACTCTGGAGCTTTTTGCCAGCTGTAGTCAAATTACAATTTTTGGTGCTGCAGCATTAGCTCGCAGGAGACACGGCACCCCCACACTCACTGATGGTAAACAGTCGTTACGTCCCTCCTTCCTTTGTTCTGAAAGGAGAACCATCCAGCAGGCAGCTGGATACGAAACATGCTTCTGTATAACCGTTCTTCCAAAATGACTGAAACATCAGACTCTTTTGGGATTTTCTCACTGTAAAATTCTCACCATAATTTTACACACTGCACCTTTAATGATTCTTCTCTACAATACAACCCTCTGTTTGTTGTGTTTCAGATGCAGGGGCTTCTGATGGACAACGTGTCATTCATAAACAGGTTGGAGAATCTGTGGAGCTTTCACCAGATAAACCAACTGAAGGGGTCACTTTTGCACGATGGACATATAAAGGAAATACAGTTGCAAAAGACCACTCAGTTGCCACAGAAAACAACCCATTTCAGGGCAGACTAGAGATCTACACCAACTATAGTTTAAAAATAAGAAAACTGACTCTTCCGGATTCTGGTGAGTTCAGTTTTGTCAGCGAGGACAAGGACCAACAAAGACCAACAGTTTCCATCTCTCTACGAGTTCATGGTGAGATTCTAGTTGTTGTTTTTAAACGTAAAAACTGTTTATGAAAGATAAGTCTGAATAATTATTATACACATTTTTAATGATCATATATCCATCCATCCATCCATTCTCTTCCGCTTATCTGGAGTCGTGTGGCGGGGGCAGCAGGCAAGTTGAGAGGCCCAGACGTCCCTCTCCCCAGCCACTTGGGCCATCTTTTCCAGGGAAATCCCAAAGTGTTCCCATGTCAGGTGGGAGACGTGGTCTCTCTAGCGTGCCCTGGCTCTTCCTTAAGGTCTCCTGCCAACTGGACGTGCCCAGAAAACCTCACCAGAGAGTTGTCCAGGAGGCATCCTAACTAGATGAGTCGTGGAGGATGGCTGCTTATACTGAGCCAGGATCCTCTGGAGGTTTCTTCCTGTTAAAAGGGAGTTTTCCTCTCCACTGTCGCTGCATGCTTGCTTAGTATGAGGACTGCTGTAAAGACTCTGACACTAGTCAGTGACTCAATGCAACCTGCTGGGTTCCTTATATAGGAAAAATTATTTCTGATTGGCTTAATGATCTGACCTGTATTGGAATGTTTACTGTGTGAAGGTCCTTGAGACGACTCTTGTTGTGATTTAGTGTTATATAAATAAACTTGAATTGAAATGAATAGACGTCTGAGCCACCTCAACTGGTTGCTCTTGATGTGGAGGACACACACACACACACACATATATATATATATATATATATATATATATATATATATATATATATTTATGTATGTATAAAATATATATACATATACATAGATACATATATGTATATATACATATATAGATACATATATGTATGTATAAAATATATATATAAATGTATATATATGTATATATATATATATATATATATATATACATATATATACATATATATATATGTTAATAAGGATTAAAGTGCTCCGTCAAGTGTTTGACCTGATGATCAAAGGGCAATTTTTTTATATTTTAACAACAAGTAGACATCAAAACTGGGTTTGAGTAAGAAAACAGTAAGATCACTGCTGCAATTGTGAATGAGTGCAGGTTTATTTCTGTACAAACATGACACGTAAACAATAAAAACAATAAGTTTGTCACTTTGATTCTCTCTTTTCTTTTTACCCACATTAGAGCCTTTAACACAGCAGCCCAACCTCACCTCCAGAGTCATCCAGCCTTCCTTTAATGGAACCTGTACAGTTTTACTGGAGTGCAAAACAGCTCCTGATAGAAACATCACCTACAGCTGGACCGTGGGGAGCCAGACCTACAAAGGCCCTGAGCTGCAACGCAGCATCAGTACACAGGATGGAGCCATCACTTTCACCTGCACCATCACCGATGCCGTCAGCAACAAGTCAGCATCTCTAATACAGACGTGTAGAAACCAAACCTCTACAAATACTACGCTGAGAAGTGAGAGACATGGAGGCATTTATTATTTACCTGTTATTATTATTATTGTTATTATTATTGTTGCTATTGGTATTATTATTATTACAGTCTTCTTATTATTATTATTATTGTTGTTGCTGTTATGATATTATTATTATTATTACATTGTTGTTATTATTATTATCATTATTATTATTGTTATTATTATTATTATAACAACAATAATATCATTAGGAATTACCTTTTCATTTATTAAACCAGTTTAATGCAACTATGTTCTAACCACTGAGTTAGTCGAAACTTGTAAGCCAAAAAGGTAAAAACTAATGTTTATTACACCACAATGTGCCAAAAAGAACCAAATGATGGAATCTGATCAACAAGACAGAACGAACGTACCGAAGGTACCAGTCTAAACGTTAAAGGTGATTTGGAATCACATAACCGTAGAGGACTCTGGATAACCAAGTAGTTGACTTTTAAAGGATACTGATTATTTCAATCATTTCAAAGTTTTAAGTCTGTTTTTTTTTTTCAATTTCAATTTAATTATTTTGTTCATTTTAAAAGAAAATTATTTCACACAAAATAATACAACTTGCATTGCTTAAATGAAAAGGAGCAGACAGAAGAAACTCTAATATATAGTCTGCCCCACTCTCACAAGTAAATAAATCATAACAATAAAACCAACTGTGTTAACTAATTAAATATAACTAAGAGTCAGCTGCCTAGCAGCATGCCAAAAGTTTAACAAGTAAATACTTCATACAGCTGTTCTATTGTAGCACCATATGACATCATCAAATTGCATTTCGAGAAATCAGGAGAAATAAAAGGAAAAAAAACAACATCCCTGATTAATCTACATACCTTCTTATCACACTCATTTTAAAAGTCTTTTTAAACATTATACTTGATTTTGATTGATTGGTTCTGTTTAATTTAAACTAAAGAATACGTTAAACTGAGCTTTCACAGATCAAGTCAAGCTGATCAGATTAATTCAAATGTGACTATAAAAATGACTTACAAACATCTATGGCAGCTGTTTTCTTGTTTAATGGTTTATCCTTTTTATTTAATATTACATATTTTTCAACAGGAGTTCACATCATGTGGATCCTGACTGGAACATTTGGTTCCCTGGTTCTCATCATAATCATTCTAATAGCTATCTGTGGCTGTAAACAGAGAAAGACGGGTAAGAAACAGACATACTTTCCCTTATTTTTGCCAAACCCAAGATGTATTCATTAAATTTTAACGTTTGATATTTTCCTTTTGCCTTCAGCCAGTGACTCAAATGAATTGACAGTTTATGCTGACGTCTCTGATTTCACACATGAAGACGTGAGTGTTGAATTAACTCTCTTTAATAATATTCCTTCCCTTGAAAACTTTGGAATTAACTCTGTTTTGCTGATGAATCATCAGAGGATGGCCTTGAAGCCTTGCTCCCTGTATGACACCATAGAAAACGGAGCACAGATGGTTACAGAAGGGGTAAGAGCAACACTTTAATAATAATAATAATAATCAATAATCAAACATCCTCCAGAAATAGGCCAACGGCTGTGGGTCTGGCCGCTGAGCGGTCACGCTTAGAGGCTTCTGGGCTGCCGCATGATGTGGTCGCCACGATTCAGAGTTCGCGGGCGCCCTCTACCGTCACATCGTATGCTGCTAAATGGGCAGCTTTCCAGAAATGGTGCACAGAGCAGAATGTTCAAGCACTCTCCCGCCAGCTGGCGGATGTCCTATCGTTTCTGCAGATACTGATGGACAGGGGCGTCGCATTCAGCACTGTTAAGACATATGCTGCAGCTATTTCATCCTGTCACCAGGGTTTTGGAGATAGATCTGTTTTCAATCATCCCATCACAAAACATTTTCTAAAAGGTGTCAGGAGGAACAGACCTGTGTCCCGCCCGCTATCTCCCCAGTGAGACCTAACGGTGGTTCTGCGCGGCGTATCTGAAGCTCCATTTGAACCCTTGGACCAGGTCACTCAAGTTCCTGTCACTTAAAACTGCATTGCTGCTGGCGCTGGCATCAGTCAAGAGAGTGAGCAACCTAACCGCCCTCTCAGTGGCTCCCGCATGCCTCAGGATCCGGGAAGATGGCGGGTCTGCGGTTTTATGCCCCAACCCAGCCTTTGTGCCCAAAAACATTAATACTTCCTTCAAATCCAGGTCAATTTCATTGGCTGGACTTTTTCCTTCCCCCCATAATTCTGATGAGGAGGCGGCTTCCCACCTTCTCTGCCCGGTGCGCGCGCTCGCACCATATGTGTCACGCACTTCAGGGATTCGCCTCTCACAAAGCCTGTTTGTGCACTACAGAGATTCTTCCCTTGGGCAAGCGCTGTCGACCCAGCGTCTTTCACACTGGCTGTGTGACGCCATTTCACTCGCTTACACATCATCAGGGCGGGATCCTCCTGAGACACTCAGGGCTCACTCAGCCAGAGGGATTTCCTCTTCTATGGCGCTCCACAGTGGTGTGTCGATGGAAGACATTTGTCAGGCTGCTTCATGGTCTTCACCTGTTCCTTGTTATTATTTACGAGATGTGTTTTCAGGATCCATCACTCGTTCAGTGCTTGGACCTCAGCAGTCTGAGTGAAAGCATTATGGCACCACATCAGCCCTGCTTGAATGAATTTCATCCTCTTGTGGATGATATTTTTAGTGGGGGCCCACTCTTCTCTCTGGCTACCTCAGCCTTTTAAGCCCTGGGCTGAGGCTGAGCGGCCCTCACTAAAAGGAGACATGTTGGGTGTGTCCATTGGTTGAGCTAACCAGTGTGGCGTAAACCCATCCAGCTGCGCATTATTCCAATAGCAGCTCGCTTAAGGGCTAAGACTAGACGAAATAGAACGTTGGTTACGTATTGTAACCCCAGATTCTATGAGTCTAGTTGCAGCCCTTAAGCCACTTGGCCCCACTGGTTCTGTTAGGACTAAGAGCCATCGGAGGTGAACAGTGGAGTCGCTCCACTTATATACCCACAGGGGTGCCCACCATTGGTGGGCATGCATTTAAGCGCTTCATGATTGGCTGATGCTGAGATAATCCTTCCAATAGCAGCTAGCTTAAGGGCTGCGACTAGACTCATAGAATCTGGGGTTACAATGCGTAACCAACGTTTCTTCTTGAACATGACAATAACTTAATCTGACTTAGATGCCCTGCGCAATCACCAGATCTCAAGAGCCTTTGAGATGTAGAGGAACGGGAGAGTCCTACCATGATGTGAATGTGTGATGCTGTAAAGCACTGAAGATGTCGATCTGAACATCTGAGGAATAGTTCCAAGATCTTGTAGGAACTATGTAATGAACAACTAAAGTGGTTTTGAGAGCAGAAATTGGGTCCAATCTAGTGCCAGTGAGGTGTACCTAATATAAAGGCCAGAGTGACTTTCAGAGTAAATTCAATTCAATTCAACTTTATTTATAAAGCGCCAAATCACGACAAGTCGTCTCAAGGCACTTCACATGATAAACATTCCAATTCAGGTCCTATATAAGGAACCCAGCAGGTTGCATCAAGTCACTGACTAGTGTCAGAGTCTTTACAGCAATCCTCATTCTAAGCAAGCATGCGGCGACAGTGGAGAGAAATGTATTCAGTTTATAATTATTACTTTTGTACATTCTCCAAAAGGCAGTTTGTTTTCAGAACTCCATCTGCTTGTTTGCTTTTGGTCCTCATTTTTTCAGAACCCCCCCCCTGTATAATAATTCAGAGTCAAAGTCATTTTTAGAAGGACTTGTAATGACTTGTGACACTAATCCTCCCTTCTTTTGCCTCCCATCTAGCCCCAGACAGTCTATGACCAGATCCAGTTTAATCGAGTGAAGGGACCATCATTGTCGCCCTATCAGGATTTGTCCTAGGTGGCGTTGGAGTGTTTTGTTTTTACCCACAAGATCAGCTCAAGAAAAAGATTCAAGTTTAATCATCCGATCCACCAAGCAACTCAGAACAAGAATGAAGGCCAACAGCAATCAGGAAGAAAGCACATTTGAACATATTTACGCTTTACTTATTTTACTCTGCCATGGCCTAGGAGACCCATACACAGCCACAACAGCGAATACTTTCTGCAGAACTTTGTTGTCGATATTCTCCGCAGGCTAGCAAAAACACTCTGCTTACGCTCCGGACCGGATATTAGGAATAGGAGTGATGTGTGCATGTGCAGCAGGATCCTGTTACTGCTAGGGTTGTCACGGTAACCAGTGTAGCGGTAAACCCCGGTAAAAAAGTTGACAATAATAATAACCGTCTTGTTTTTAAAAACATATATTATCTTGGTGGATTACCGTGGCTGCGGTGACCCTTACCAGCCACCGTATCATCTGCTGAAGTTGCCGGCGGCACATGTGCACTTTGTTGTTTACAACCAAAACTTTCTCGACGCTAAAGCTGAAATAATGGCCAAAGGAGGAGACGGCAGTGCTCAGGACATTTTTTAACCCTCAAAGAAGACAAAGTGGGAAGTACGGGCATTTTTTGGATATCTGAAGAGTGCCGAGGGACAGCTGATAGAAGACGGCTATCCTGTGTGCAGCACGTGCAGAAAAAGTGTCTGTGAAAGGCAGCAACGCTTCAAATCTCATGACACATCTGCGTGACCATCACCCACAACTCTACAGTCAACGCAAGGCAAGCTAACGTTAGCGTTTTAGCTAAAATAGGTGATCCGAGGATTTGGGTTGAGGGAGAATGCAACGAGTCGCTATATAAAGCAGCCGCAGCGCCGCTACCTGCATATAAACCGTGTCGCGGACACCCCCATGTTGAAATGACGCTATGCATTACGGGGCTCCCAGGGGCAGATAAGAGTTGGTCTCTCTCCGAGAATAATTATGAATTTAATAATGATTACTGCCTGATGACATTTTCCCACATCTGCAAAGCTCACTGGAAGGACACAAACCGAGGACGATATTTTCCTGATATAGGGTTTATTACTCAAGTAAGGGTAAAAAAGTATCTGATTAGAAGGCTACTCGAGTACTGAGTATCATCTGGTCTAATATTTTTAAAATGATGACATCAAACAGACAAAAAATAAGAAGTTATGGGCAAATACTGGTATTTTAAATGCTAAAGGGGAAAAATGTAAATAATAAACAACATAATTACAAAATAACAAATTTTAGGCAAAATTTAGACACAAACTGAGGACAATATTTCCTGACATACAGGGTTTATTTAGCTGTCTGAAAATGTAACACGTTTAAAAAAAATACCACGATAATACCGAAAACCGTGGTAATTTTGGTCACAATAACCGTGAGGATACATTTTCACACCGTGACAACCCTAGTTACTACCCTAACTCTAACCCACTGACCAATCAAAAACCTTTCTCAGTGGATCTCTCACTCACAAAACTGCCTTCATGTGTTCTCACACCACACCTCTGGTTTCATCAAGTTCATCTGTGACGCGTTGCATTGCACTGACGTACACACTCCCCCACGCCACCGCTGGACTGGACTAAATATTTATTACGCAGCAAGTTGTGGAAGTTCACTACAATATGGACATGTATCTGTAAATGCAAAGGCTTGCACTGAATATCTCTCGTTGGTAATCCGATGTTAATTAAAGGTTTTTTTAAATAGTTGCCCTTAATAAAGTATTATGTTTAGTTCTTCTGCTCCACAATCTATAATCCTGATGACACGTTTTACCTGTTGAAGAGGTGACTAATCAGGATTTTATCAACAGAAAAATATTTAAGTAGGACAAAATACAACAAAGAAATGGTAAACCAATTTAACATTTCAATATTTCTGTGCTAAGTTTAGATGGTAATAATTTATTTCTCATTTAGAATCATGAACAAAACAAAAAGTTCCAGAATTTTATAATCAGCATCCATCACAGTTAGCCGCTTGCTTGAACTTGAGAATATGTTGAATGAACATTTCCTAATTCATGTATTTCTCTTAGATTTTTGTTTCCATTTTTAAAAAACTTTACAACGTATAAAATACTTTCTTCTTCTTCAAAAAAAAAGGAGATTTAGTGAAACTTTTTTGTTTTCAGTGTCTTGCCTTAGAACAAACCAACTTTTGGTGTGGGAAGAGTGTCTTCATATTAAAATCAGAGTTCTATTTGAAATTGTATGGTATTTTGCTGTAAATACTGTAAATGTGTACATTATTAAATAGCACATATTTTTTACTTGTAAATTGATTGCATCGTTTGTTAATATTTGCTGTAATGCTGTATTGTAATTTGCTGTTGTCAGGCTTCTTGGGACCAAGGTCATTTTTGTTTTTCTTTGACATCTTCAGATATTTTATTATCCTATTAATTAGTTTTTTAAAACTCTGTTTCAGTTTTATTAAAATGTTGCTTCATACATTCTTCTTTATCTTTTGGGCCAGTTGGGAGCTCACGGAGCTGAGAGCTGCGCGAGTGCGTGGGATGTGGGGATGATTCTCCGGCTGGGTGCTCACGGAGCCAAGCGCTGTATGCGTGCTTCGGAACCGAGGATGATCCGGCGGCCGACCGCTGCTGACCAGCTTGCGGCACACAATCGGGGGAGATGTGGAGATCCTCTAATCACATCAGATTACTGCGTATGGGGAAAGGAGCGGTGCTTTCGGAGTTCCCCTGATGCTCGAGGTGGGTGCTTGGTGCCTGTTGTTTCTATGGGTTCCACCGGGTTGCCCTCCCGCTCTCGTTTTCGCCGCTCTCGTTTTGGACGGCACAATCAGCGGGGAATAAATCTGGCCAACCTACAGTATATTGCAAGATTTGATGGAGCCGGACTTTCTCTTCCATCGGGAAAGCAGTCGACTCGCTTTGCACTGATCAACGCCAGATCGGTTGGAAATAAAACTTTTATTCTGAAGGAATTCTTCCTGAACAATAGCTTGTCTGTTCTATGCGCCACTGAATCATGGTTAACCCCTGGAGATTCAGCTGCTATTGTTGAAATGTTACCTCCTGGATGCTCCTTCATTAACATTCCAAGAGCACAGCGCCGGGGCGGAGGTCTATTGACTATATTCAAATCAGATCTTGTCTACACACCGATTACCCATCAATCAACTCCATTGTCTTTTGAATTAAGTTTGTTTGAATTGGGACGTTCCCCTCCATTGTTATGTGCACTCATTTACCGTCCACCACCCTATAACAAGGATTTTCTTAATGAATTTGCAAACTTCCTGGCAGACGTCTCCTGCAGATATGGAAAAATACTCTTGCTGGGTGATTTTAATATTCATGTCTGCTGTCCTGACAAACCTTTGGTAAAGGATTTCTTAGATCTTATTGACTCATTTAGCATGTCCCAACGTGTTAATGGACCCACTCATGGTCATACACACACACTAGACCTGATTTTTTGTCATGGGCTGCAAATTAGTGATCTTGGCATTCTACCTGCAACTTTTTCTGATCACTCACCAGTTGTGTTTAATATGAACTTAGACTCTGCCTCTCGTGTTGAGTGTTTCCGTCCCAGCTTCTCTCGAACAATCAGACCCAATACTGCTGCACATTTTGCTGCTATTCTTGCTTTGAATTCAGCTCCATTTCAATCTACTGATGAATTTACTGTTGTTGAGGGATTACTTCATGCGCTTGATTCATCCTGTCTGGCTGCTTTGGATATTGTCGCTCCATTAAAATCAAGGCGAAATACATCCCGACCTGACCCATGGCTGAACGAGCAAACTCGTTCCATGAGACAACATGCCAGAAGACTGGAACGTAAATGGATAAAAGACAGGCTTACTGTATCCTTTGAATCCATGAGAGAGGCGTGGTCTCAGTACCAAAGAGCAGTCAGAGGCGCAAGAAATCGATTTTTTGCAAGCATCGTAACGGCTAATTCTAATAATCAAGGTATGTTATATAAAACTATGAATGCAGTGCTTTCACCAGTTACAAAACTATTTTCCTCTGCGTCTGCTGACTTGTGTAACCAAATCCTGCAGTTTTTCTTAAATAAGATTAGTGTAATCAGAGCTCAGATTCACCAAACCAACCATGTTCCTGATTCAGTCATTCCCCCTCATGTGCAACTTCAAAGCTTTCAGCCCATCTCTCTGCCCTATCTAGAAAAAACTGTTGCTGCCATGAAACCGTCTGGCTCCCCAGAAGATGTTATCCCACCTCGTCTCCTGAAAGAGGTTTTTCCTTTCATTAGCCATAATGTGCTAGACATCTTAAATAGTAGCTTGACATTGGCTGAAGTTCCCTCTGCCTTTAAACACGCCGTTCTTCAGCCAATCTTGAAAAAACCTGGTCTCGACCCCACTGATTACTCTAATCTCCGACCAATTTCCAAACTACCGTTTTTATCTAAGGTCCTTGAGAAAATAGTGTATGAACAGATGCTGACACATCTAAATGACAATCAGGTAATGGACATTTTTCAATCTGGTTTCAGAAAACAGCACAGCACTGAAACTGCTCATGTTCGGGTGTTTAATGACATTTTTCTCGCTTTAGATTCAGGTTTCCATGTGGTTCTGCTACTTTTGGATCTATCAGCAGCATTTGACACGATCGATCATAACATCTTGATCACCAGACTTCAGACTTGGGCTGGCATTTCTGGTTCAGCCCTAGATTGGTTCAGGTAATACTTTTATAACAGGTCCGCTAGAGTCATGTTGGATGGCTGTTCATCCGAGTCACAACCACTCCGTTGGGGTGTCCCACAAGGCTCAATACTCGGCCCGTTACTATTTAACCTCTATATACTGCCCTTAGGAGCCATTTTCAGAAGGCACGCTGTCTCATACCATCTTTACGCTGATGACTGTCAGATCTACTTTTCATTCAAGCCAACTCAATCAATGCAAGTTCTGTCTGATTGTATCGATAATGTTAAGCTTTGGCTTGCTGATAACTTCCTCCATCTGAATGACTCCAAAACAGAAGTAATCGTTTTTAATCCTCACAGCATCCCGGCTACTCATCTACCTGACCTCAACTATCTCTCACCTAATGTCTCCACTGTAATTTCCAACCTTGGAGTTAAAATAGACCAGGCTCTGAAGATGGATGCTCAGGTCAATAACACAGTTAAATCATGTTTTTACCACCTCAGGCGTATCTCTAAACTTAAGCACATCCTGAGTGTCCGTCTTCTCAAATCAGTAGTCCACACTTTCATCACTTCACGGCTGGATTACTCCAACTCCTGCTTATACGGCATCAGTAAAGCAGCTCAATCTAGACTTCAGCTAGTCCAGAATTCAGCAGCTAGGTTCCTGACTGGAGTTGACAGAAGACAGCACATTACACCAATTCTAAAATCTCTCCACTGGTTGCCCGTTCATCTCAGGATCAATTTCAAAATCATGCTTCTCACTTATAAATCCCTGAACAGTCAAGCTCCTCCATATCTGTGTCAACTCGTCCATTACTACAATCCGCCTCGTGCTCTCAGGTCTGAAGATAAGCTCCTCCTAGCTCTTCCAAACGCACGTCTGAAAAGCCGTGGAGAAAGGGCTTTCTCTGTCTGTGCTCCCAAGCTGTGGAATGCATTACCACTACTAGTGAGGCAAGCACCAACAATTAGCATTTTTAAATCTCGCATGAAAACTCACTACTTCAACCTTGCATATAATACATAGTCATGGACCACTTTCGACATCTGCATTCTTTCTACAATAGAATGAACTATAATTAACATCTGTATTACTGTGGTTCTTTCATATGTTTTTATCTGTTGTTTCACATTCCTGTTGTGTTTTTAGTGTTTTACGACTGTTAGTTCTAGTATTTTCTTGTTTTCATTTTTTCTTATAAACTATGCTTTAAATGTCATTCTGTACGTGTTAATTAACTGTAATCTTTTAATGTACAGCGCCTTGTCTGGTTGTAATGCCATGTTGAATGCGCTTTATAAATAAAATGGTATGGTATGGTAATGGTGGTATCTATTTTAGTCAATTTTCTGATTTCCTGAGATTATGACAACAGTAATATTTTGGTCTTTTGGCTCACCAGACTTAACACTTTGCTTTTCACTTTCAATTTGCAGTGTGTATATTAAAGAATTATTACGTATTTATGATATATAATCATAAATAAACAAATAAATAAAATTCCCAGCTCACCCTCCGTGGGTGGTCTCATCCTTCCAAGCTTGGGTCCTCTACCAGAGGCCTGGGAGCTTGAGGGTTCTGCACTTTTCTGGACTGAGAGATGTATGCTGGGATCTGCTTTAGCCACTCCTCCAGTTTGGGGGTCACTGCCCCGAGTGCCCCGATGACCACGTGCACCACCGATGTCTTCCTTCGCCAGTCGTCTTTGAGGCCTTGGTACTTCTCAAGTTTCCCCTGATCCTGTTTCCTGATGTTGCCATCACTTGGTAGTGCTAGAAATAAGAGATATAAATCTCATTTAATGAGAGCCTTATTTCAATAAAAATGAAGTAACACCGCTCATCTGGGTTGAGGAGCTGGATAAAAATTTTATTTTAAAACTTTAAAGTCATTCATCTAGTCACAGTACAGTTCAGCAAGGATAGTACACAATTAGTATTTCCACCCATTATAAGGTAATGTCATGAGAGGTCAGGTAACAGAAAAAAACCTCTGGGCGATGGTGGCACAGGAGTCAAGTGTTCGCCCCATAATCATATGGTTGCAGGTTTGAGGCCCACAGTCTGTCGCTATTGTTGTGTCCTTGGGCAAGACAGCTAACCAACCTTACCTGCTGGGGGTGCCTGCGTATGTCTGTAAGTGTGCCCCAGGGCAGCTGTGGCACCACCAGGGTGTGAATGGGTGAATTACTGATTGTAAAGTGCCTTGGGGAGTTCCAGGACCCTAGAAGGCCCTACATCAAATACAGCCCATTTACCATTTAACCTGGTGAAGTGATCATCACAGTTTGGTGCATTTATCGATAACAGAACTGGAAAGAATTAATTTTTTTTTATTTGAATAACTCCCTCACCGCTATTATGTGTAACATGTTGCATGAATCTTTATGCTGATTGTTTTGAAATTGTTGGGTTTAGTCATTTTATTGTGTTTTATTGTGTGTTCTTTTTGTTTTTTGGTATTGCACGGTGACCTTAGGCGTAAGAAAGGCACCTGAAATAAATGAAATGAAGAAAAAAGGTATGTCATAGAACAGCCTAACCTGCATATTTCTTAAGTCAGGGCTGCAACAGCCTGTGGTTACTACTTTTAAATAAATTATCACTAGAATATAAAGGTGATCAATAAAATGTAATCCATGAAAATATGAATTATCAATATTATTGAGACTTTAATATTCAATCGATGATGAAATGCCAGAGAAACGACATTTTATAATAATTTGACACAGAGAAAAACATAGTTTGTAAAAATCTATTTATTACTACATTAATAATGATGAAATGCAAATGATTCTGAACGGTCAGTCACGGTGATATTAAATGAGACAACGAACTACTCTGATGAAACGTGACCTTGTATGTTTTAAGAGCTTCACTAAGTGACACAGAAAGGTTGATGTCTGGGTTTGTAAAATTAATTTGGCCGTTTGTTTGATGTAATTTAACAAGTTATCAAATGAATATTAACCATTCTGACGGCATTGATTAGTTTACGCACACTGGATCGTGGAAGTTCTTCGTGATCCAGTCTGCAAGCGAAGGGTGGACTTCTGATGTATTTGAAGATCATAGGGCACCCTCAAAATACACATGACTGGTCAAAAGATACTGCCCAGGTGGCTTCTGGCAGTCGGTTTCACGTCTGATGAGCGGGAGTTGGACTGAGCAAATAATAATTGTTGATTCAATAGGACGGTTGATGTGCCGCTAAAATTATTCCACCGCAGAATCTGGTTTGATTCCCCGTAGGATGGTCATTTAGCAGGAGCTGCGAGCTTTTGCTGAATTCAGAGCTCTGGCTGGAACTGGGGAAAATAGGAAGTGAATTCACTTTTAATGAAATGGCTATTTATAAACGTTGAACAACCAGATCTGAGAAATTTGATGGAACATTCATTGTAGATAGCACAAAAAAATGAATGTAAACCTGTAGATTAGACAAAAAAAGAATAATTTTATTCAAGAGTCAAAGTCTCATCTTCTGCATGGAACCTTGGAGTTGCAGCTCAGATAAGGGAGTCAGGAGAAGGAATTTATTATGGCTTATCTCCAGATGGTGTCGCTAGGGATGGTTAAGCATGGAATTGTTTTGGTACAGGGAAGAACACAACATTCCTGGCAGAGGAAGTCTGCTGGACACTTGACTGTCTATTTGACCTCCGACATTGCTGTGGACAAATAATCTTGTAGGCTTGAGGTCACGAGTAGAAGACTTTAATGTCTTTGAACCAGTTGTGGAAGGGTCAGAAGGCAGGAGAAGATGGTGGTAGATCCTTTAGCACACATGCTGCAGGTGAATCAGAGAGGCTTCCAATTATCGTGCTGCTCAATAATCAAACAGGGTTATTTAAAATGTTAAACATCTCGAAATGGAAAAACTGACTAAACACAAGGTAACACTGGATATCACGGAATGTAATTTATGCTGAAAATGTCTTCCTCCATCAAAGGTTTTCTTCACAACTTCTCTGCACTATCTCCTAAACATTGTCATGGTCTGTGTCTGCCCCTCCTTCATGTGTCTCCCGATGTGTCTTCATCCTCTCTAGATTCCCTTCTGTGTCTCTTAGCGCCCTCATGTGTCCTTTGTCTGCATCTCAAGTATGTGTCAATGTTGTTACCCTTTTAAATCATCCCTCCCAGGTCAGCCCCAGCCTCTTTGTCCCCAGCCCAGTGTGTGTGTGTGTGTGTGTGTGTGTGTGTGTGTGTGTGTGTGTCCTCCCCAACTCAGTGTAAGTGTGTGTGTGTGTGTGTGTGTGTGTGTGTGTGTGTGTGTGTGTGTGTGTGTGTGTGTGTAAGTGTCCTCCCCAATTTAGTGTATGTGTGTGTGTGTGTGTGTGTGTCTGCATGTCCTCCCCAATTTAGTGTGTGTGTGTGTGTCTGCATGTCCTCCCCAATTTAGTGTATGTGTGTGTGTGTGTGTGTGTGTGTGTTATGTCCTCCCCAACTCAGTGTAAGTGTGTGTGTGTGTCTGCATGTCCTCCCCAATTTAGTGTATGTGTGTGTGTGTGTGTGTGTGTGTGTGTGTGTGTGTGTTATGTCCTCCCCAACTCAGTGTAAGTGTGTGTGTGTGTGTGTGTGTGTGTGTGTGTGTGTGTGTGTGTGTTATGTCCTCCCCAACTCAGTGTAAGTGTGTGTGTGTGTGTGCATATCCTCCCCAATTTAGTGTGTGTGTGTGTGTGTGTGTGTGTGTGTGTGTGTGTGTGTGTTATGTCCTCCTCCAGCTAGTTTGAGCCCTTCCCTTCGTCTTTAGATAATTGTTGTTTAGGTTTGTGTTTAGGTATTTGCCCTCCTCTGTTTCTGTTTTCCCAGTTAGATTATCAGATTCACCTGTCTTCCCTCCAGCCCTCACTCCACACACCTGCTGCCATTTTCCCTAATTACTCCTCCCTGTGTATATAAGCCCCGTCTTGTCTCTGTCTTGTGTCGGTCCATTGTTTTGTAATTCTGTCAGTCTCGTCTCGCTTGGATTATTAGGGTTTTTTGGTCTTCTCGAGTTCTCTAAGGTTTTTGGATTTCCAGATCGTTATCTGGTTTTTGGATTTTTGGCTCTCAGCCTTGGATTTACTTTTGTTTTTGGCTCACTTTTAAATAAAGGATTTTACTTAATCTTCATCCCTGCCTTGTGTCATCCTGGGTACTGCATTTTGGGTCCTACCAACACCGAATAGTGACAAACATTTGCTGTTTTAAACAATGAATTCTTCTTTTGCTTCTGGTCCTAGCGGTAATATTTATTTTCTCTGCAGCAATGCCAGTTGTTAAGATTTAACACCGACTGCCAACTTCAGAGAAATAAATCACTGAATTTATTTAATTTTAAATTGCTCATTGCTTAGCAGTAGATTATTAAGACCCAGATAAAAGTGGCAAAGTACCCTCCTCCTTAAGCCGGGCGTACACTGTACGACTTTTTCACTCGTAGCACTCAGCTTCAGCTCAAACTGTACGACTTCCTCGCAGAGCAGATCTCACGAGTCATGCGCTCACACTGTACGTCTGGTAGCAACACGTCGGCCCTAAAAATATGCTAAAAATAGCAGTTTTTACACAACACGTCAGACTGTTTTGTCTTGTCTTGCCTGTTGTCCTTCGGGAGTGCTGCAGGAGGACACACAGGGATTTATGGGGGTTGGATGAGGAAACGAAATAAAGAAAGTGAATCTGTGTTTTATGATCAGTTTAATTTGACATGAACACGACAAACACGCTTTCTTGACAATCATTGTGAGTAAAAAAACGTGTAGAAATAAAAACGAACAGCGTGTGTTATTAGGGAAATAGCGAGCGAGCGGCGTTGATGCAGGATTGAGTATGCGCCTTGAGCGGTTCTGGTACTTTTTGGGTCGCAGGTGCTCGCAGCGCCGCTTCAACAGTGCGTTACCCACACGAGGGATGAGCGAAATATTAAACACGCCAGAAGTCCGTGCGAGCTCACGACTGATGATCGGTAGCTGGTCACGTGGTGTTAATCGCCTCTCGTAACCCCCTGTACACTACACGACGCTCGGCGCAAAACTCGCCCCGATCTCGTGGATTCTCGCACGACTGGAAAATCGGCTCAAAAAAGTGAAAAAGTCGCACAGTGTACGCCTGGCTTTAGAAAAAAGTGTTGTTATGCTGAAAGGTTATAATTAGAAGTGGAGGCTGTGCGGGTACTGGCCCAAAGCACTGCTCTCCGTCTAAAAAGGAAATTAATCTGATGACCTTATCATCAGCGCCTGATCATCATGATCAGCCGCATTTTCTCCCTCCCCAACCCACCCCGCGCACCCAGGTATTTCCACTGGCCCCAAAACCACCTTAAACCGGTTCTCCCAACATGATCACAGGCCAGCCTGGACATGCATCTGTGGCCAGAGCTTTCTTCTTTTTCAGTCTCTCCTTTTCTGCTCCACCTGTCCTGGCCCATCTTAGTCCATTTTGCCTCTGGGGTGGGGGGTCTCTGCAGCGCTCTGCCAAACCTGGGGGTGTCTTTGTGCCTAGTTTGCTCCATTTGTGTGAGCATCAGGAGAGCAGATGCCCTGATGAGCTGTATTACTGATTGTTCATTAGGATATCATGCACGCCATGACCATCAGCAATCACTGAGCGGGTCAGATTAACAGCCAGGCCACCGGGAAGTCTCCCGTTTCTCCCGATTACCGGTTCGCCACTTTACATGCGCGTGGTGCGTGCACACACACACACACACACACACGCAGCATGCCTCTGGTTGCCATGAGACGGAAGGAGGAAAAGAGGAGGAAAGAAAAATAAACAGCGTGACAGAAAGGCGAGGACATGAGTGACAGCAGGACACAGTTTTACTACAGTGACAATATGCAAAAGGAAAATATAACCAACAGGCTCTAATAGTTAAAAGCCAATCAATATTTTTGTTTAGTTTTTTTTTGTCATTTAAAATGTGATTTATAGCACTCTGCTTCATGTTGAATTAAATAAATTATTTAAATAATAAACATTTGCTATAATGTATAGTAATTCAGTTTACACACTGTTCTATGTAATTTCTGCTGATAAATTAAGTTAAGAAACAAAAAATGTGAGGAGCCTTTTGAGAGCTGAAAGAGTCCGTTTCATTTTAGTGAGCCAAGGCGTAAGAACCGGTTCTCCTTAAAGAGCTGGAGTTCCCATCACTAGCCACCACTGACGATAGCCCTATGGTGGGTGGCTAGGCTGTGGAGGCTTCCGTCCTGCAACCTGGATAAGAAAAAGACAAAACCCATAAGGACTATAAACATCTGACCACAACTGTATGCAGGGGCGCAGATAAGATTTTCAAACTGGGGGGACAAAGTTCCAATGTACCCTCCCCCAAACACATATACACACACACATACACAAACTATTGCAAGAGCCTTAACTAGAGCTCAGTCAGTTTGTGTAATTTCATCCAGTGGTTTATGAAAACACTAACACTATTATATACGTGTTTGAAGCCACTGTGCAGTGGAACGCTGGCAACAAAGCTCCGTCTGATCAACACTATCCAAGTCAGTCATTTGTTATTCTCCCAGTCGATTACGAACCAAAACCTCGTGCTTTATGCAAAACATCAACTGATTCTCAGCATACCAATCTTTACAGAAAACGTAAAATCCCTAAAAAAAATGCACATAAAATATATTTAAAAAACAATATTCACTTATAGGGTTGGCCATCGTTTGATTTTGAACAGTTCCGATTCCAATTCCTCGTTTCGATTCCGGTTCCTATCGATTCTGATTCTTTGAAGACATGACATGCTTTACACGAGCCAGCTAACCACGGGTCCTACTGGATGAAATAATCTTAACTTCAACATGAATTTTAACTCTATGAACAACAACATCACCTTCATTTAGACAAAAACATGTTTTGGAGAAAAAAAGAAAAACTTGCAGCACAACCAGTGTGTTTGTTTCTGACCACAACCAAAGTCTGGAAGCAGCCTCTGGGATGAGAGGCTAAACGTCTCCAACATATCCAGAAACGTCCAGCTGTTTCCAGCTAAAACTCTCAGGATGATCATGTCATGTCACGAAAGTGACGTCATCGAACCAGACACGAAGAAAAACAGCAGGCTGTAAGTTTAGCAAACTTAAAATCCTTCCTTTAGGAGGAAAAAACCACCATAAATCTGGCCATGTGGGAGTTAGCAGCTACGGAGAGGAGGTTATGTGGTGACGTCACATATGCAATGTGCCGATATCTTATTTGTCGTTATGCTAATTACAAACTTTTACAAGCTGATAAATCTCAAATGATGTGACTGGCGTGGTCGAAACACCCATCAGTACTTTTCATTTAAATTGCAGTACAACATATGTGCGATCCAGGGCGTAAGGCTAAGTGGATTAGAAAATAGCGTTTTTAGCCCCGTTGACTTGCGTTCATTTTTTCGTTCTTCTGGGGACCCGTGAGCCGACCGGAAAGGGAGGAGACTTGGGCTCCCTATGGACAAGAAATAAACTTCTCATGACTGCGTGAAGGGCTTACATTTGTGCAAATATGGAGTTACGCGTCATCATTTGTTGTGAGCAAGAAAACTAGTCAGGAGCAAAATATTCTATTTTTGGACATAAAAATGTGTTTTTATTTAACAATGACATTCAAACTGATGAAATAAGAGTGAATAAAAGACGAGAGACAATGTTACACAATAAAATATAAACAATTAAGTTTAGGTTTAAGAAATTTTTGTACATTTTGAATTAAAGCTTACCGAACCTGTTTCAGGCTGTAAAGACTAAAGCCTGGTTCATGCTTCTCCGTCAGCTCCACAAGGGACAGACACGCACGGATTGACAGAAGCATTTTGCTCTCATACTTCTCCGTCTCCTGGAGAGTGTTGCAATTCCCCGCCAGGACAGCAGAGGGCGTAGCGCTGTTCTGTGGTATCCTGTCATGTATCGGTCTAAGATAGTGTGTTTATATTGTGTTTTTTGTGTATATAAGACTTTTTAACACAGACATATTTGTCTCTCATCCTCCTCCACCTCTTCATGCGCTCGCCACCTCTAAACCCACGTTTCCTGTCATTTCCGTCCACAAATAAAACGCTTGCTGAGCATCTTTTCGCTCCTCCAGTCACGGGGGAATTAAACGTTCATGTTTTTAGAGTTTTTTCGCGAGGTATTCTCCAAGCTGCTCAGTGTCTGCCGCTAGTTATCCTCGGCTCTCTTTATGTTTTTGAGGGCGCAATGGCGGCGCTGTAGACGACAGCGGCGTCCTGACCAATGTTGGTCTTTCTTCTGTTAGACCAAGCACGGGTACGGAGAAGATGGAGTTAAACACCTTTTGAGTTGGCAGAATGTGGAGTCAAATGATCAGAAGTCCAGTCACTGTTTTCACCACTCATGAGGGGGAGAGCCTTGCAACTTCCAGCAGGTCCCGCGATCTGCTCCTGACAGTTGCTTCAGACAGACTCTCGCCGTTCTGCTGAAACGGCTGATTTTTATTGAAAAGCACAGGAATGTAACATATGCAGTTTGCCATACACACACGTAATTCTGCCATCTGCACCTGCAGATGCAGGTCAGCTAATAGCCTTGTTAATGAAAGACCAATTCATCCCAAGGACATGCAACCTTGAGATGACCAGGACACATCCTGCAACATCCTTTGCTAACAAAGACAGTTGTTCTTGTATTGAGGAACTGAAGGAAGGAACACTTTCACTCCCTTTTGGAGTTCCTGCAGCTGTTTAGAGCTCGTGCAGGAGAGAAGCACAGAGAGGCCTTTGATATTATAACATGATTCCAAGAAAAGGCATATAATAATGTATTCATGATAATATATAAGGAGCATAAGTGAGAGATACATATTTGTTCATATAAAAGAGCTCATATGAGAATATATTTTCACCAATCACAAGCTTGCGTTGTCCATCTCGACTGACGGATGTTTAGAAAAGAGAGGTCGACTCCGTCCGTCCTTGCGGAGCTCTCCGGCAGGCCTGCAAGGACGTTGCGTGTCTCCGCGCTGACGCAGACGGAGAAGCATGAATCAGGCTTAAGTGGAACTGCTCTCCACCCATCTACCCATCCAGAAGTCACCACTCCTGCGAGGACTAGTGGTGTCTGTGAAACTGATCTGCGATAAATTAATCTGCTGCAGCTCATGTTTAGCACACTGGTGTGACAGACTATTTATGTTCTGCACACAGAGGTAGTTTATGAACGTGGTTATGGAATTGCTTGGGCGATGACGAACGCTCATGTCTCAAAATAAAATAACAGCCAGCAGCTTTTCTATGTTTTGTATCCCTACGTCCCACAAAAACAGTGATTTAATCTCACGTTTGGTAAAATTGCTTCTGCTTCGGGAATCATTTTACCGTTGTGATTTAAGTTGGATGAGGTGGAAGTTCCTGTACGTACGCAGATTTGGCCGTGAACGTGTACTGTTTCTAGACAAACAGCTTTGGGTAAAACGAAGACTAGGTTATGAGGCTAGGTTTATTTTAAGAATGTGAATGTTTGGGGTTTCCTCTTACCTGATTTTAAGAAGCACAAAACCACCACGAGGACATTTAGAATAAGGATGACGAAAAAAAGACCCCATCTATCTCTGACCAAACACTTTTCATTTGGAACTAAAGAGAAGAGAGAAAAATATAATAAAGAGCAAAAATGTTACAAAAGCACAATGACAGCAAATTTACCATTTTTAAAGCATGTTAAACTGATGTTTTGTTCATTTTCACGTCAAAGATTGACTTCTATGTTTACTGGAACATGAATATTATTCATAACGTTCTGGACTCTGTAAACATACTTCTTAAAAACTTGGTCATAAATAAAATGAGCGACAGTTTCAGTGGTCACACTGAGGCTTGGCACATGTTTACACCAGCTTGTTTGGATCAGGAAACATAAAAATAATGTAGAAACACTCAGATGAAGACGAAAGTTAACCTGTAGGTTATTGCATTGTTTTCTTGGTTTAATCGTTTGCTCATGCACTTAACTCTTTTTTTTTCAAACTCACAAAAAGGAAAGAAAAAACTCTAGAGGGCACTACCCACATGTGTCATTATACTAAAGACTGACAGGAAGCTGAGGATCAAACGTAAAACTACCGACTACGGTACAACACCAGCGCAGTGGCCTAGTGGTTGAGTGTCCGCCCTGGGACTGGGAGATTGGGGTTAAAATCCCAATCCTCCCTGCTTGACACTCAGATTTACGGGGTTGGATTGGGGGTTAAACCACCAAACAGTTCCCAAGCACAGCCACAGGTGCAGCTCACCGCTCCCCACGGGGATGGGTCAACTGCAGAGGACAATTTTCACCACTCACCAGTGTGTGTAGCAACTACGAGACTTTAACAACCGCTCCAAGAATTTTTTTATTAAAGCAGTTAAATCATTTTGACTAATTTACTGCCAATTACAGCTAGTCTTCATTTTAAATCAAATCGCTTGCTGTCATTGCCTAAAATTGTCAATTGTCGGTGCGGAGACATGCAACGCCATTGAGTGTTCGTGCAAGGGCTCTCCGACGGGCTCACAGGCATGCCTAAAATTTTAAATATCCGTCAAAAATGACAGAGACCGCAGGCTTGTGATTGGTCAGGACACCGCTTCCTGTAAATTCATCAACATCACTGCTGTAGCTCTGTTAAAAGGTTTATAAATATTTAGCAGCAGACCCAGAACAGATTAAAAAACGCATCACAGAAAATGTCCAAAAAATATGAACGGTTATTCACCCGAGACTGAAGGAGTAGGCTACAAAATACGGAGCAAACATGGACGGAAGTGACGGGAAACATGCGCTTTGAGGTGGCGACTGCATGAAGAGGTGCAGGAGAATGAAGGACACATTTATTTGTGTTGTAAAGTCTCTGAAATATATAAATACATTACATAGTAAATACACTATCATGGACCAGATACATGAGTGTTATGGTGGCAGGACACCACAGAAAAGCGCTACGCCCTCTGTTGTCCTGGCGGGGAATTGTTTTGCAACATTCTGCTGCCTGTGCTGAAGTTCGCATGGAAAATCTTTCAGACACTGTTTGATTTTCCCTGAATGGGAGCTCATAGAGAACTTCAACGTCACGTCTCTAAAGCTGATCTTCACCCACGAATGTCACACGTGATCAGGAAGCAGAAAATCCGTGAGTTAGGAGATCGTTTCGAGATGCTGATGTGAAAAAAGCTAGGCAGTAACCGGAAAAGCTTCTGCTGCTCACACTTGGACAACGGATTGTGAAAGAACGCGTAACGCTAGAAACACACTAACGTATCCTGATGTAAGACGTGAGTCTACCCTTTGTTTTGGTTGTTTTGGTGTTTGCATCATCATAGAGCACAATGTTCTGTTACTCTTCAAAAACAGTAAAAGCGCTCAAAAGCACTGGCAGTCGGGGGCTTTCTGATCAGAAAGCAGCTGGCAGTGAATGAGTTAACAGTCAAAACCTTACCGTCGCACTTTATTTTGAACTCTGTTGATATTGCTTCCATTGTTTCCTTTTGCCTTTTGGAGGTGCAGGTGAATTCGACAGACTCTTGTGTGTTGCAATATGCCACAAGCTGTGAAGGGTCACCTTCAGTATTATTCCAACTATGCCAACAGTGAGGTTGAACTTTCCAGAAGAAGCCAACCCCATCATCTGGAGAAGAACAAGTGAGCAACAAGAAGCAGCCGGTTTCTGTTGCTGTGGTGTAGTTCACCCTAATGGTTGGTGCTTGAAGGCGTTCTGCAAGGGTTGAAAGTTGAAACAGTAAAATTTCCAACATTAACCTTTTTGTTTTTATAAATAACACTACTTACAAGTATTAGAATGATACATGCTAATATTGTTAACATCATTTTAACATAAATGCATACATTGCATTATTAATACAATGTATGCATTTATGTTAAAAACCAACTAAAATGTAAGCTTTGCTTAGCTAATAAATCTTGAAAGTAAAATAAATCATGAATAAATCAATTAAAATACATTTGCAATGATGAAGCAGAATTATTTGTATCTTTATGGACACTCACGTTTCACTGCTAGCCTAATTTTTTTCTGAATTTCTGTGCTTGCGTGTTCTGCTCGTACTGTGTATTCCATGGCATCTTTCTGGCTCAGATTAAGGATGGTCAAGTCACCTTTGGAACAAAAGGTAGGGGAAAAACATTAGTGATTTACATTTTTATACACCTTCACTGGACAGGTTTTACCTGTTTGTGCGTTGAGAGTAAGTCTTCCTTTATAGAGATGGAAACGGTCCAATTTTATAGCCCCATTGCGATAGGTGGCAATCAAGGTGTTATTGGACAATATTGACCACTCAATAACTGACAGACTTAAAGATGCGTTGGCTCCAAAGGGCAGGGTAATATCTTCACCAACATACCCAACAGCTTCACTGATCGACGTAACGGGCACCACCAGAAGACCTGTGTAGAGAAATCAGTGTTGTAGTTGAATGTGCACAACCAGCAACCAGCAAAGTCCCAGGAGATAACAGTGGCAAACCCACAGGCCTGCCTGCAGCCTCTCACCCCCAAGCCGGCTGAGCCTGCACCAGCTGGTGCCACCACACAGCCCCACTTCCCCCCACAGCCCTCTGTGTCTAAGTGCAATTTAAAATTGGAAGTGGGCACCGGCACTGGGGTGAGGCTGAAAGATCCCCTTGCCAAATACCGTTGAGTGTGCTCACTCCTAAGGCACTAAGTGTTTGTGTGGAATGTCGTTGGTGGAAGTGTTTAATGTGCGAACAACATTGGGGGGCAGGTTGCCACAGGACTGTGGAAATGGGATCCATACCCACACCCCCGGACTTGCCCACCCCCCAAGGTCCTTTGTGCGTGTTTGTGTGATGATGTGAGGAAGCAGGAGGAGAAAAATGTATGGGGATGTGGAGGAATGGTTGGTTGGCCTAAGCCCTCCAGCGAGCCAGCTCCCCCACTGGCCCCAATAGGCCCCTCCATTCCAAAAATGCCACCCAGGACATGGAGACCCCAGCCCATCTAGCCAGGGCCCAAACAGCAGCATTGCAGAGCCCCACGGAGTCCAAGAGCACCAACCCAGCCTCACCCCAACAAAAATATCTACTCCCATCCCTGCATTTGCATACCTTCCAGAATATGTAAGACATAAGACTTCTAGGTAAGATTGGGTCCTCCCCTCCTGGACATCCCCCTACCCCATGATGGGTCAGAGTTTTTAATATTTCAGAGGGGCCAAGGTCCTCCTGAGGCCCCTAAACCTGGGCCGTGCCCTGTTGCATGTTCCCAGTTTCTTCCTGGCAGCATACAAGTTAGGACCCAATCCTCAAGGCCCCGCCCAGATCCTCACACGGGGCCTACCACCCCCACCTTGAGCCCACAGGCCCCCACCCAGACACACTCAGGAGCGATGCAGCCACCAGGCAGCAACCCATGGCCACTGCCAAGACCCCCCAAGTGGACCCACTCACAACTGCCAGTAGTCCATCCACGAGGCAACCCAAGCACCTCCAGAGCGAGGCAGCAGCACCCCAGCCCCAGACCCCCCCCCCCCCCCGCAGTGAACCCACCCCCAGGGAACGTCTGGATACTCCAAACTCAGACCCTCCGCCTCATGAAGTAGTTGTCATTTGCACTAATAATGTTTAAAGCTTAAGAGTTCATGACGGGAGATATGTGATGTTAGCAACCCAAATGTCGTCGTCATCTTCCTCCGCTTATTCGGGTCCGGGTCACGGGGGCAGCATCCCAACTAGGGAGCTCCAGACCGTCCTCTCCCCGGCCTTGTCCACCAGCTCCTCCGGCAGGACCCCAAGGCGTTCCCAGACCAGATTGGAGATGTAACCTCTCCAACGTGTCCTGGGTCGACCCGGGGGCCTCCTGTCGGCAGGACATACCCGAAATACCTCCCCAGGGAGGCGTCCAGGAGGCATCCTGACCAGATGCCCAAACCACCTCAACTGGCTCCTTTCGATCCGGAGGAGCAGCGGTTCTACTCCGAGTCCCTCCCGAATGTCCGAGCTCCTCACCCTATCTCTAAGGCTGAGCCCGGCCACCCTACGGAGGAAACTCATTTCGGCCGCTTGTATCCGCGATCTCGTTCTTTCGGTCATTACCCAAAGCTCATGACCATAGGTGAGGATTGGGACGTAGATCGACCGGTAAATCGAGAGCCTGGCTTTCTGGCTCAGCTCCCTCTTCACCAAATGGTTCATTTTAATTTTTTTATTAGATCCAACAAATGTCAGTATCTGAAATTAAGAGTTAATAAAGTAGTAAATTAGTAGAGTTGGGGGGAAAAAAAGCCAATATCAAGCATCCCTAGTTCTTTTCATTCCATAGTTCGTGGATGGGGATCTATTATGTTACCAGTTAATCCAATCCAAAAATAAACAATAAAAATGTCTTCACAATATTCCTCTGTAGGTACTCATGGGGTAATTACGGGGTAATACTGTAAACCATCTAGTATCTAAATTTGAAACAAAACCTTCCAGTCATTAAACTTATTGTGGTTCTAAAGGCATCTTCAAAAATAATTTTCTGAGGACAAAACTTGTATTCAAAATAAAGTTTTAGTCGGTCTGGACGGGTGGCAGATCAATCAAAAATTACACTCAGAAAAATACAAATCACTGACAGAAATCTATTTTAGACCATGTAGCATCCACATTTCAAATATTCTCTCTGTGACAGTAGTTTCTGGTACTTTAATAATCACAGCCTCAAACACTTATTTAGGCGCCATTTATCGACAGTCATCTCTTAAACAAATGGCAATGCAAAGAGTAGCGTCTACTCCACTTCCCGATTTAGCTTTGTTTGGGTGTTAACACCACAAGACAACTTTCTTACCATCCTTCTCTTATTTTTTAAAGTATCATAGTAAAGAATATAGCTTTAGTTTTTGAACCTATCTATATAATAGATCTGAGAAAGTCACCTATCTTCCAGTAATATAGTAAATTGTTTTAAATATTTCAAACATTTTGTAAGTTTTAAATGTTACTGAGTGATAATTTTTGGGAATATTAACAATACATACCTTGTAGAAGTAGAAAGACAGTTAAAAGACTCATTTCCACTGAGCGTTCGTGTTCATGTAAGCTGTGGGTTCCTCTGACTGTCGAGCTTTTCCGGAAACGGACACAAAAAAGAAGAACTGCAGAAACTTCCCATTGTGAGCTGCACCTGGTGACTCATAAACATTTTATTTAAAATGGTAGTAATAATAATAGTACAATCTTGTTTTTTTTTATTTTTATGTTTTTTAGAAACATGGATTTTGTGAACCACGTTGTGTGGAAACTTTTAATTCTCTCGTGTTTTCAGTTATCACCTCGTATCCTGACCTTTGTGGTTAGGCTCACCCCTTTCCGCTTCGCAGCTGTCAGCCACCACAGGAAAGATGATTTCATCTATTATAGTACACTTTATAGCAGTCTAGCTTCTCACTGTTGGTCTCATGATTTTACCCATCAGTAAGCTGCAATAATGCCTAAGTAATGTATCCAAACACATGGATACTGTTTTGTACCTCTAGAACAGCGGGTTCCCAAACTTATTTAGCCGCGCACCACCCCCCTTCTATGTCCTGACCATGTCGACGCACCCCCCCCCCCCCCCCCCCCCCCCCCCCCACATCGGGACATCTCTCTCTCTCTCTTCTCTCTCTCTCTCTCTCTCTCTCTCTCTCTCTCTCTCTCTCTCTCTCTCTCTCTCTCTCTCTCTCTCTCTCTCTCTCTCTCTCTCTCTCTCTCCTCTCCTCTCTCTCTCTCTCTCTCTCTCTCTCTCTCTCTCTCTCTCTCTCTCTCTCTCTCTCTCAGATGTCAAGCTAAACAGAAAGGGTTAAAAAAATTCCCTATCACTTTCATTTTTTTAATAGTAATTAATAAACATTCGATACCATTACAATTTCCGTTGATTTAATTTTAAATAAATATTTAGAGTGCCCAGGTAGCACATAAACAATGCAATTTAACGGTTTTCTTAAGTAGGAATGTTTAACCTGTGCGGCCAGAGCGCTCTCCTTCCTTCTGCTCTGCGTAAACCTGAGCTGATCACCTACTCGTGCGTAATCAAATGTCAATAGGGGACAAGATATAGCCATGATGTTCACTTTTACCTCAGACCGACTCATTGCTGTTTTATGGTGTGGCTGAATCTGCGATCCGCTGTCACGCTGACTGGAATAATGAATGCTGCAGTAACAGGACTTGTGGTCAGGTTCGGAGTCACTGGCTGGAGCGGGCCCGACTCATCCCAGAAGCTAATATCTTAATTTGACCTTGAATGAAAAATAACCTCTTAAAAGTTTTTATCACGGTGGAGGCAGCGTTCATTTCTGCCTTCAGTCTGACGGCGCGCCGGAGTTAAAGCAGCGTGTGAGCTTATTGAATCTGTGTGTGTGTGTGTGTGTGTGCGCGCGCACGCGCGGCACAGCCGCTCAAGTCACCGCGTCTCGTTATCGGCGCTATTTAAACCAATCTTGTAAAATTTCTTCTGCCCAGCCCAGATGTGCTCACATGTGCACCCGTGAGCCGTGGTTCAGCCGGAACACGTCTGACCTCTGACAGACGCACTCTGAACTTCAGATCTTCAGCGCGCTGTTAATAGCCTGAATGGGAATCATTTCTTGTTATTTAGTTACATCCACAATGTTCTGTGTGTGAGGTTTACAACGTCAGAACACCTGCATGAGACAGGTGTTAATTACAATCTGCCAGAATGACTCGCCACCTTCAGATTCCTCCAACACCGTTAAAAATGATCAAATACGGAACATATCGGCGTGTGCAGGCCAGAGTGCTGAAGCTCGGCGCATTTTTATTATGAAGCTAGGGCACATCATGTGGAGGACACGCGCGCGCGCAAAAATATACTTGTTTTCAATTACATTTATTGTGCCCGCTTACTTTTTCTTTGGCCCACCCACAAATGAGTTTCTACGCTAATGGTGACATATGACAGACTTCTCTGAGCTCCGCAGCCATTACACTTTTTACCTCGCACACCCCCTAGCGGCAGCTCGCGCACCCCTGGGGGTGCGCGCACCACACTTTGGAAATCCCTGCTCTAGAAGAATGTGGTGGTATGAACTGGTCGGTACTACCTATAGTAGTTTTTCTCACCTGAATATCAGAGATGAATTCACTACTAAGCGGTAAACAGTTCCTCTGGATCATTTATTTACCGTAATATCCGGACTATAGAGCGCACCTCAATATAAGCCGCACCGGGCTAAAAGCCGCAGATATCTGCTAAATTGAAAATGTAGTTTAACTGAACGGATCAGTATCAAACAAAACAGAAAAGTTATTGATTAGTTTATTCATCGTCCTTCAGTGTTCTTCACTGTCGGAGTTGAACAGCCTCAGAAGAGCTTCGTCACATACCTTTTCTGTGGCGATGCCAGTGTCGCTGTCATCATCCCGGAGTGAAGCTGGGAAAACAAGCAGCGCCGTTTTACTGTGAAAAAAATCCTCCCGGGCGCTTTCCGTAGCGCTCCTTTAACCATTCCTTCATTAGACTTTCCAGCATCCATCCTTTCTTGTTGACTAAAGCCGCACCTCATTATAAGCCGCGTGGTTCAAAGCGTGGGAAAAAGTAGCGGCTTATAGTCCGGATAATACGGGAACACAGAAATTGTCTCTTCATAGTAGAAAAGGGAACATCATGTTTATTTTATTGTGTGTGTTTTTACAGGACGTCTTAATCCTGAATGTGCTCTGCTCTGAACAGTTACTAACTTGGATACTTTGTGAGTTTTGGGCTTTTTCCAAGTTTTTAGTTCTGGTTGTTTCTTGGCCCATTAAAACTTTGGTCAAGTTGGCCTGAGCTGGGTGGCGTCTGCCTAATGGAGAAGTCCGTGGTGTTGTTTAGAACCACCACAAATAAGTAAACAAAAGTGCTGCTTTTGGGAGACTCGGACATGAAGCACGCAGCTTCCTCTTCTCATGGAGCAGCAGCGCTGCTGTGGGCTCCTCTCCCATCCAGGAGCGTTCATGGACGGTCCTCGTGCTGCTGCTGCAGCTCTGCCACGGTCCGCGCTGCATCCAGATTCCTAATGACTCTCGTACGTGGGAAGCCGCCGCTGGTTGATTCTACCCGCCAATCAGAGGCTCCCACTAGTACGTATGAATGTTAAACATTAAAATGTTGTCTACTCTGACTCAGAGCAGCAAAAGCAGATGGAAATGTTAGTAAAGATCAAGGGGTCTTAGGGAGAGGTGATTTCCAAGTACTGCTTTTACGGTTATGCTAACTGAGTCACAAGCTAAAAGTGAAAGAGGAAATAAGAACAGCTGTGACAAAATGAGGCTTCACATGATAAAAGCAGAAGCAGCTTCTTCACACATCACTGATCATCTTAAATTGTAAAAAATATAAAGAAGCAAACATGACATCAAATAAAACAAGAATCCAGTGTTTAATGTGAACTTTGGAGAGCTTTTGTTTCTAGCCACAGTCCATACAACAACGTTTTTTAAGTCTTTGACTCTGGGCGGAAGAGGAAGCGCCCAGCACATTATCACAAACAGTCAGCTTCTCCTTTTTCTTCCCTGAACCAATCAGAACCATGAGTGAGTATTTCTGGTCCTACATTGCCCAAACAGCTTGGTGATAAACACATAATCCTCGCTGGACACGTTTGTCATCAGTCATTCACCATGTAAAATAGCTTCATACTAAAACAGTCGACAAGAAAAACAACGCCCTGCAGGATTAGTATCTTTGACTAACCAACTTCCTCCAGCCTACACCGATGTCTCAGACTGAAGCTTCATGACAAACTTGTGGCTTTTGGGGTCGATAAACTCCTCGCCCACGCGCAGGAAGGGGAGGGGCGTTACCGTGACGACCAGGGAGAAGTCAAGGCGTTTCAGGCTGAAGACCTGACCATGACGGAGGGAGGCTGTCACTGGCTCCTCACTCACTAGTGTCCACTGGCGCCCCCTGTTGTTGTCCAAGTACTGAAGGGTGGGGCCTGGGTTGAGATAACGCTCCAGGAAGGCCTGAAGGGAGAAGAAAGGCCGTCAGCAGGTCCACTGACCCGGTTAAAGCCTGGTACAGGAATCTAATCAGAAAGCTCTATCATCATGCTGTTTTTTAGGTACCAAATGTGTGATTACATATAAACGCAGCTCTGAGGACAGAACCGATCCTTTTAAAGTGACAGAGGTCTTAGTAAAAGGCTGATAGGTGATGTTTTAATAATGTAAAAATTTGGACTTCTGCAGAAACTTCACACCGACTAATAATGACTAAATGTCTTGAATTTTAAAGAACCCATTTATTAAAGTCCTGATCCTTCAAATTTTATTTGAATAAATATGAATTTAAAGCTAAAAAATAACCCAATTGAAATACCCGCCCTTCTTTCAAATTCATACCAAAGTTTTAAACTCAAATCATTTTATGTTGAGAAATCTTTGGGTGAAATCCTTAAAATAACAATGTGGTGGCGCGCCGGTCAGGGCACGTCTGCTTTATTCAGGGTATCTGCAGGGTTAAGGGAGCCGAATTTAAGACTTTTTAAGACCTTTTTTAAGGCCACTTTGACCAAATTTAAGCTATTTTTAAAATTAAATTTAAGCTATAATTTCCAGCTATTGCCTGGAACCGGTGCTAACCATGTCGCGAACGTGGGATTAGCCATCCAGTTACCATTAAACTTGCACTTCCCCATGGCGCAAGCTCCCACTAGCTTAACCAGCTAATGTGCTCATCTAAAAATAGCCCCCTTTCACAACCAGCTGAACGTGTACGGTTCCGCTTACGCCAACGTCACACACACAAAAAATGCTGAACACCAACTAGAAATTCAAGAAAATTTGACAAAAATAAAAGAATCTTGTTTATTGGGTCTTTGGTAATTTAAGACCTTTGGAAACTGTATTTAAGGATTATTTGTTATTTTTAAGGATTTTTAAGGCCTTAAATTTGGAAAAGCAAATTTAAGACTTTTTAAGGACCCGCGGATACCCTGTTTATTTTTTAAGGTGAGTTAAAGTTGTGTTTGCTAATGCCAAACAGCTGTGACTCCAAAATCTATCCAGCTGTGGACGTGCATCTAATCCATAACCTCTTAAGGTTTTAACAACATCCATCAGCTGTAAAAGATCGGACTCAGTTCTTCCCACATCAAATATTATTTTGTTTTCTGCTTATTTATTTCAAGAAAAGCAAACCCTACCTTGGGGGTCATGTTGTGGGTAATACAGAACTGCAGATGATTGATGATGCTCTGCATGCTGTGGTACGACTGCTGCCTGGTGGCCCGGAGGTACTTCTGCATGGCCCGTGCCATGGGGGCGAATATGGCCTGGGCGGCCTCCCGAGGGTCCATCACCTCCCGTGGATGTTTGGTGGCGGGAGTAGGTGACTCGTCCACCTGGTGACGTTTAATGTGGGTGAAGGCTTCTTCTACCGCCACCACTAGTCTGTCGGGACACCAGACAGCATAAATTACATCTATTTAAATGCGTCTCGTTGAATAGACGTTTCGACTGAAAAGCACAAACTAATAAAAAGGATGGATCTGTCATTCTTTAAAACTTTCCATTAATATCTGGAACAGTGACCAACTGATGAGTTTCTAAGTGCAGCCAGAGTGCCAGGGCTCCCTCTTCTGGACACTGAGAGGACAGCCACTGCAAAGACCTCTACGTAAGGAGGAGATTCAGATATGTCCACCTTGGATAGGCCAGGATTCCTTGGAGAGATTACGTATAGTCAAGACTCTCATCCCATTGGTGAGTATCAACTCTTTTTTTACAGCAGCTGGAGTAAAAGAAGCCATTTTATAGGGTTCATATTAGAGCCCTGCACTGAAGCCTGCCGACGGGCCGGGGGCTGGGCTTCGGGCCAACGACTGTGTTATTACCTCGGACACGGGCCGGGCGCCTTTATTTTTAATCGAATTCATAGAAAAAACTGAAATAACGCAGCAGCACCTGCCTGCTTCTCACCTGCCTGCTTCTCACGCAACGGCACCGTTAGCTCAGTTAAGGTGTGTGTGGTTTATAAACGCGCCTTTATAAACGAATTCTCAAACTGCTGATTGAAACATGTGCCCCTATTCTAACATGCCATTTTATGTCCACTCTGATGTCAGAAACCATTCCTTTATTCTCATGAAAATGGCAGCATTCTTTTTTCTGTGAATAAATTCGCTCTGCAGTTATAAAAATACAGCATTCATCGCTGGTTTGTTTTCTAACTGCAGAGCGCATTTTCAGAGCGACAGATTAGATTTACAAACGCTATAATAACTGGGGGCGTTTATTTAATCTGCCGCTCTGCAGTTAGAAAATTAGAACGCTGCTTTTTTTCTAATTGCACAAGAGCGCCTTTTCAGAGCAGATTAAATTTACAAACGCATCCAATTAATATAGTGTTGATAAATTTCATCTGCCGCTCGAAAAATACGCTCTGTTAGAAAAAAAGCTGCATTGATGCTGTTTTTCTTTCTTTTCTTTTCTTTTTAATTTTTTTTAAACTGCAGAACGCTTCCCACAGATAATTAGAACGCTGAGCATTCTATCACGCTAAAACATCATGAAAGGTTAAAAAAAAGTCGGGCTCGGCTCGGGTCAGAGAATCCTGAAAACCTTCTCGGACCGGGTCGGGCTGGGGCTCCACCCCCTCGGGCCGGGCCGGACACGGGCTCAGATTTTAGGCCCGTGCAGGGCTCTAGTTCATGTGTAATCTGTCTCAATGTTATTATAATCTGCTTGACATGGTGTCCCATCTTCCATCGTCCAAATTAGCTTTCAAAATCCCTTTTCGAGTCCCAGATGAGACACGTGTTCTGGTTGGCTTATGGGAATCTCCCCCATAAGTGTCAGGACTAGAAAATCAACTGAGTTCTATCATACAGTGAGTTTCTAGAGAATTCTCGGTGTGTGTGGGACAGCTCCTACCTGGCCTTGCGTTTGCGAACCCTCCGCTCCACCTCTGCCTCCTCATAGTAGTACTCGTTATGGGAATTGTCTCTTTTCCGAGCGGAGGCTGCAATCATGGCTCTGGACTGGCTTGTGGAGTTGTTGGTGCCGTTATCTGCTAATAGAAACAAAGAGGTGTGGTGAAGTATTGAACATTTAACAGGTTTGTTCGTTATGACCTGATGATTTTGAACTCTTTCACTCATAAGTACTTCAGCATGCCCGTCCTGACTTGCTTTAGAGCGAATGTTCCATGTCACCTAATTTCTCTCCTGTACCTTCATGTGTGATTCATGCATTCATAAAGTCCAGTCCACGGACACCCACAATCACATCAATGACACAACTTGCTTGGACAATGTCAGGATGCAGCAATGCTCCAGAAATTATGATGGTGTGATGAGGTTGCAGCGTGGACATTAGGCTGAATTCTTAAAAATCAATCTGCACATGGACCCTGAGTTACGACTAGGCTGCCAGTGACCCTAAGTGCTGCCACTCCAAGGATAAATCATCACAACATGTCTTTAGGAGTTTTGTGGACTCTCAAAACCATGATTGACTTATTACGTATAACAGAAACCCAACTGTGTTCTTAATACCTCACCCTGTACCAACCATTTGCTAAACTTTACCAAACTAGACCAAATTCTTGCTTTCAATCAATCAATCAGTCAAGTTTATTTGTATAGCAATTTCGTCATCCATGGAAGGTGACCAACGTGCTTTACAGGACATAACAATAAAAGATATTACATAAAACCAGCGCAAGTGCTTGTATCTAGATCGAGGGACTTGAAGAAAAAGTTTTGCCGTTGACCTAGTGGACCGTGTTAGCCGACGTATGGAAGAGGAGTCAGAGCGATAGGCTGGACCTAGGCCATGGATACTTGTGAACGTGATGCTTTTGAATTGTCTTCTGAAAAACACAGGAAGCCAGTGCAGTTCTAAGAGAATGGGAGTATTATGGCTCCGCCTAGGTATGTTAGTGAGGAGACGGGCTGCAGAATTTTTGGACTAGTTGAAGACGAGCGACGGAGGACTTGGATAAACCGACATACAGGGCATTGCAGTAATCAATGCGTGAACTTATAAGGGCATGACTGACATTTTCCAGGTCCGAGCGGTTTAAAAATTGTTTCAGCCTGGAAACAGCCCTAAGTGGACAAAAACTTGACTTGACTCGCATATATCTGTTTGTCGAAATTCATGTGTTCATCAAAGATGACACCAAGGTTTGCAAAGTTTGGTCTAGGAACGCTCCATTGGAACCTCCGCAGCCCCTAAGCAGCATCCTGGCTGACCAATCACAGCTCTCTAGAGGGGTTTCAAACACATAGAGAGCTGTGAGTGGCCCATAATGGTGGGCCAATCATATCGCTTTATCCGCTTTGTGGGCCAATCAGGGCCATCTATTTGTCTGGTGGGCGGGATGATGCAACAAAGTGGAACAAGATGGCGACATCTCGTTTGAAACAGCTTTTACGCCATTTTGGACTATTTGGACTTGGGCTTTATTAAAATCAGGAGCAGATAGATGTATTTAAGTTATTTTTTTAGAAAAAAGGATGTATTTTCACCTTCATCAACAGCGGACCGCCTCGTTTACCAACATCCGTCGCGGTGAGTGTGTCACGTTGTTCATTGTCCAGTAGCATGCAGAGATTGTTTGAAAGACAACGGTAGAACCCACCCCACCACCGAGAGCCGTCAATGGAGAGTTGCCAGACTAAATAATATATTTACTTAGTCTGGCTTGCCAGGCTAAAACTTTATTACGTTATGGCGGGACTTTCATCCGAAAGGAAGGGACTTTATTCTCACTTCATCTGATTCCTAGCCTAGTGAACTGGACCAAATTCTTGCTTTGCAAGGTATAAATTCACATGTGTAGTCTGGCTTGCCAGGCTATCTGATTCCTGCTTTGGAGCAGAAAAACATTAACAACTGATTTACTATTCAAAACAACTAAACATGTCTTTTGATTTAATATTTCTAAAATTATGAAAACAGGTGCAAAGGTCTGCCCTTGAGTCTGGTTTTATACAGCTAATCTTAGGTCAGTGAGAAGGATGGGCGACATTCCTCCTCCATGCACTGCTCCACTTCATCAGAACCAGAAATGAGATAACTGAGACAAAACAACTACAAATGACATCATCTGTGACCTGTAACAGACAGACAGGTGGTCACTGACTGGTCCTCAATACCAGATGAGAGGATTCAAAGAGAGGTGAGATTGGGTGGTTCACATGGATAACTTTGTGTTTCTGTAACAACTCATCACTTTTCACGTAGCCAGTCATGTGTGGCAGCAACCGTTGTCGACACGAGATGAATACCTTCCTCCAGGTTGTAGACTTTGAAGGAGGACATCTTCTTGGTGAGGATGGACTTGGGGAGGTTGAGCAGAGCAGGATTATAGACGGGGAAGTCACTATAATACTGATCCAGGATCCACACTGCTGCCCGTTGAATACTGCATCGTAACAAAAAACAGGAAGAAATGTGGCAACTTCTACCAGCAGAAACACGGCGCCAAAACCGCAATTTTACTAGGAAGGAAGTGGGGAACGACCACAAACGACAGAAGGTAGTAAAACGTGTGTGTGCACCAACCACGACAGAGAGATGAACTGAGCCGAGCTAAACGTTTTATAGCACAACTAACAGTATTCAGTTACGTGTGGCGTCAATCCTAAACAACCACATGTAGAGAGAGCTCATCCTTGGATCGGTCGCCAAGCATCTGTTTGGAAATCCCCTTCCTGTGTATTTCAAAGCTTTAAATCGTGACATAGCACTTTTGCACAAATCTTGTAAACGTTCGCTATTTTGATGTAATAAACACAGAAATGGCCTTCATACCTGGGGCGACGGTGGCACAGGAGTTAAGTGCTTGCCCTGTAATCGGAAGGTTGCAGGTTCGAGCCCTGCTCAGTTCGTTGCTGCTGTTGTGTCCTCGGGCAAGACACTTAACCCTTCTTTCACGCTGGTGGTGGTCGGAGGGACCGGTGGCGCCTGTGCTCGGCAGCCTCGCCTCTGTCAGTGCGCCCCAGGGCAGCTGTGGCTACATTGTAGCTCATGCCCAGCAGTGTGTGAATGTGTGTGTGAATGTTTGATTGTGTTGTAAAGGGCCTTGGGGGGTTCCAGGACTCTAGAAGGCGCTATATCAAATGCAGGCCGTTTACCATATAGCTAGCAGGACGAACTCTCCCACAGAATCGTTGTTATGTAGGACAACTTTCAGTCTGTACAGGTTCCCCCATCCCCCCCCCCCCACACACACACACACACACACACTAGAAAGCATCAGTGGCTGATCAAACATGCCTCTGCTTTACGGCTCTAGCATGGCTTGTCTATATACACTGAAAATATTACTAAACAGCGTTTTGGGTCAACTGTGAGCAGAATTGAAACCCTCGGTCTCCAGCTGAGTAGGTGACAAGAACCTGTTGTCTTTGACATCGGTTTAATCGAAGGTGTTGGATGACTTTTCACTGGGAACTCATCAGGGATGTGTATTTTAGAAATTCTGGCAAAACGATACACATCACGATACAGGGGAGACGATACGATATATCACGATATATCGCGATACATTCAGCCAGACGTTACAAGCAATTTATTTTACTGAATTCATTGTAAGAATGTTCAGTAAACAGTCCAAACTGATACGTAACATGTTTAACATGAGGCATCTGAACCATGAGGGAGGGATTTACATTTCAATGGTGGAAACAAAACTCGTTGCACACTGCTGCCAACTAGCGGGTGGCGACTGAAATGCACAAAACGAAAAGAAAATACACATAATGTTTGCATGTAAATTCTTTCAAGAATTAGATACACGGCTTTTGAATATCGATGTAATATTCACAGGAAAAAAATCACGATATATTGCCATATCGATATTTCCGATACACGGCTTTTGAATATCGGTATGATATTGCTGGAAAAAATATCACGATATATTGCCTTATCGATATTTTCTTACATCCCTATAACTCATGGTTCGTTTGATCTTGCTGCTCCTGAATAATAAATGCCTCTACACCGTTGGAGCCTTGTTCACCAAATACTTCTGCAAAGGTTGTGAACAACGTTTTTACCGTGCTGCCTGGAGTTGACTTTTATGTGTATTTGTTTATTCTACATAAAATCCAACATGCGTTTGTAGAAGTTTGTTGATAACAAGTAAATAATGTGGCCAATGCACTGACCTGAGATGACCCACGTTATAGAAGTGGCTCACTCCATCGGTGGTCCTGACAACTTTCAGACAGAAAGCGGGCTGCAGGTGTCGCACTTCCAACAACACCAGGGAGAGGTACTGAATGAAGAGCAACGCATCCACCAAAGATGCGGCGTACCCCACGATCCCTCTGTAGTCCGTCTCCCTGGGCTCCAACACCCGCACTCCATAGAAGAGCCAATAAGATGCCACAAAAAGAAACACAAGTGCTAGCAGCAGGCAGCGGAAGACAAAGAAGCGTGGCAGCGTGGCTCGGGAAGGGCGTAGGAACAGCGCCCATGTGGAAATGAGGAGGATGAGGAGCTTGAAGGCCAGAGAAATGTAAAGACCCTCACAGGGCGTCCCACAGGGGTCCAGGGTATCCCGCCAGAGGAGCTGTGGGAGGGCCAAGAAGGCCAGAGGAGTGACCACAGAGAGGAGCCCCAACATGGCTCCCAGAACTGGGCTGACGTAGCGGTGACAGTCGAGGGGTATGGAGTCCTCCAAGTCCTTAGAGATGCGGGTCAGGTCTTCATTGGAGATGCTGTCCACAGAGGTCCCTGTAACCACAGTGGTGGTCTCCCCCCAGTTATCGTCCTGCAGAAGGAGGAGAGCAGAGACACTGAGGTAAGATGAGAAAACAAACTAAAAGGTAGAAGAACCTCTGACCCTCTCATCAGCTACGGTGGACTCTGCATCCAGCAGCGGCTCTCCTGGGACCTGGATGACCACGGACTTGTCTCCACGAGTAGCTCCGTCTCGACTCTTGGAGCGATGCTTATCTCTTCTCTCTCTGGAGAAACATCAGGATAAAAAGGTGAACGTCAGGAGCAGTGGTGAAAACGTGTATTTTACATGAAACATTTAGTTCTTAATTAATCCCAATTTTTGAGTAAAAGCAGACAAAGAAAAGCAAGGCGATGGTTTTACTGCCAATGCTAGCATCCTTTAACCTGTAGGACGCGACGACGTTGGGATTTTCATTTAGAAACTAGGGATTAACAAGTTTAGAAAATGTCAAATAAAAATAGACACACATGCGAACCAAATGATTTAGTGAAAAGTATTATCATAATATTTTTATATGAAGGAAATATAAAATGGCAAAAGAAATAAAAAGAAAGAGAGAGAATGGCTAACAGGTTTAAAATCATTCGTTTTCATATATTTTATCTGGAAAAGCAAAAAATATATTAGATTTTGTTTCCTTTCATCTGTGTGTGTGTGTGTGTGTGTGTGTGTGTGTGTGTGTGTGTGTGTGTGTGTGTGTGAGTTTAAGTGTATAATGACACCTTGCTGTGAAGGCCCAAGATTGAGATTGATGTGGTGACATCTTGTGGCCAAGTCATCACCTACACCCATCTACTCTGTTGTTTACATGTTAGCAGGGCAGCAGGAGCTCAGGAAGCAGAGCAGGTTGCCTCAAAATCAGAGGATTGCAGGTTCAATTCCAGCTCCCAGTGGGGATATTCTGCTGTTGTGTCCTTGGGCAAGACACCTCACCCAACTTGCCCGTGTTGGTGGTGGTCAGAGAGGCCGATGTCCAAGGAAGATCCAGCCTTTCTCGCCTCTGATTGGTTAGAAAGGCTCTACTACGATTGGCTGTTTCATTTAGCAGCAAACCGGCTGTCCTCGCTAAGCGCTGACCGTCCTTCTGCCTCCAGCAGAAAGCGGTTTTGCAGTGTTTTGTAAAGAAAAGGTGAACTTAGCTCTATAACAACCATTCTGTCCTGGTTTGCTAAACTTTATGTTTCATAAAAAACTGAAATACGTAAAATGTGAATTCATAATCTTGTTGCATTTATCAAACTGTTGGACTTACTTTATATCTCTTGGCTCTCAATGTGCCTACCTGGGTGTGAAGTTTAATAAAACTGCCCTATCCTGCCCAGCTGAGTGCATCAGGTCCGTTTCTTCTCTAGAATGAAAACTGGTGAAAAATAGGTTTAAATAATAATCAGCTTTACCCTAATTTTTGATTAAATGACATGCATTTAATCTGATCGTGAGATGTGCTCTAACTTGTAAACAGCCTTAACCTGTGAGAGTGGACTTAGGATAGCCTAATGATTAAGTAATAAGGTAACCCTAATAGAGCCAGCAGATGTAAAGTCAGTCTACAGCGTGATAAAATGCAACAGGATGTATTACAAGTTCACATTCGACGTTTTTCAGGTTCTTTTAGGTTTTATGTTTGCTGCAAAACAAGAAAGGATGTTTATAATAGCGAGGAGTTAAAACTTAAAAACCTGCAGCGCAGGAAAACTGTTTCCTCTTACATGAAATAGCCAATCGTAGGAGAGCCCTTCCAGCCAATCAGAGGTGAGAAAGGAGTGGACATGCTGGAATTCCAAATAATGTGCCCAGGGAGGATGTGGCTACACGGTATCCTACCATCACCAGCAGTGTTCTGAGAAAAGCACTATATAAATGTGATCACTTATTATTATTATTATTATTATTATAATAACAGTAAAAAGACTGATAGCTGGAGTGTGGTATATCTGTTACTGCATAAACACATGTAGAGACGTTGGGTTAGGCCTCAGTGAGGCAACAAATCCATAACTACATTTTTGATTATTAGGAATTAAAGAACCGTTATAGCGTTCCTTTTATTCTGTCATGGCGGGTTTTATTCCTTGCAGCTTTGAACCAAACAACTGAATGAACAAATCCTACAAGATCTTCTCGATCTTTGGCAAAAACACAACTGAACCCTTACCTGTGTTTCCGGGAACTTCGTGAGTGGGAAGACTTGTAGGAGTAGCCCGAGTACGTTGACTCGTTGTCCATGTCGGAGGCCAGCGGTGGGCGGAGTTTCTGTGCTACTCCTGAACCCGAGCCGCCGCCCTTTGCCCAGACTACACCCAACTGGCTCTTGCGTTTGCTGATGGACTTGGAAGAAAGGGTCAAAGGTAGACGTAGCAGGTCCACTTTACTCCTGAAGGACTCTATCTTGGAGATCTGGAGAAAGAAAAGAAGACTGAAAGTAGACGACCAAGTTAGAGATGAGGTCTAAACGTGATTGGCCCGTGAAAGGGCAGAGGGTGACTGTGTTAAAGGAGAGGGAAGAGATGAAAAACGAGGTGAGGGAGGGAAGGAAGAGGATAATTTGTCATGTGAGACAAGGAAAATGGTCTGAAAAGGGGCACATACCAAGCAGCAGCAACAAGAAGAGAGACGGCATTGTTGAAATGTTGGCACCCGCTGCTGTGTTGAAAGTTTGTGTGCAGCTCAGGACATAGCCGAGCCCATTCTCCCACCTTCAGGGACTTTTCCTTTTTCATGAGGAACCTCAAACAACTTGGTCCCCAGTGTGTTTCAGCCAATAAAAAGCAGATATGCAACAAGCTATTCTGGGCTTCTCGGAGTGGAGGACGTGCTGCTGAGCAATCCAGCACAGCTGCTCTAAAGTCTTCCAACTAAACCAAACACGGCCGTGGCCCGTCGTACAAAATGTGTTTATTTGTCTAAAAGTAGACAATCTAGTGTGAATTACAGCGTTCTGATGCGAGTAGTTGTGTGACACACACACACACACACACACACACACACACACACACACACACACACACACACACACACACACACACACACATTCTCCAACTGTCCCCTGTGGTCTCCCAAAGCAACAGGGCTTGGCAACTACAATGGGGATAAATGGGAGTCTAGGGGTGAGAAAAGACAAAGGGAGGGGGGACGGTTACCACGGCAACCACGCCATCAACTCCGTTCTCCGCCTTCTCCCCGATCCCATAGCTACACGCCTCAGAACACAAAAGCAGACAATCCATTCACCCGGCTGTGGGTCTGACATCATTCTGAGAACATTTCTCCATTTGTCTCCAGGGTGTCTCCTCTGGACGGGACTGTGTCATTTTCTCATGGGTGCTTAAAAACAGCTCTAACTTAATAACGGAGCTCCTCACGCTCCCTTGTTTCTGCTGGTCTGTCCTCAAAATCAAATACTTTCACTTGTACTAAAAGATTTCATGTGATTCGTGGACGACTGCAGGGGGACATGCTGTAAGACAACGGAGACACGCAACCGTGGCCGAAGGTTGTATTGGTTGTCATAGTTTGTCACTTTGTTGTTTTGAGGTATTTCTCAGGGCCTTCTCTGTTTCTGGAGTAGAATAACAAGTATTAGAAATACAGTTTACACAAAATGTTAACATTTACAGCGTTCGTCCTTCTTAAAGTCTCCATTCACACCAGCATTCTGTCCAGTCCATCTACCAGAAAACCCACCAGCCTCTGGTGCTCTTTATGAATCCAGACCCTCGACCAAGTATCTTCTCTGTGCTGCAGACTCGCCAGCCTGCCTGCTGCTTTTCCTGAGCAGGAGCTGCTCTGCTGGGGCTCCAATGCCACAGATGGGACGAACCCTTAAGAGCTTCAACTTTTGACCTAGCTTCTTCTTCACCACCATGGACCAGAGCAACTCCCGCCGTACAGCAGACAATGCCCTGGTTCTTCTTCTTCATGCTCCATCCTACCTTCACTTGAGAACACCATAAGGTGTCGATTTTAAGAAATTGACCTCTTTCTACATAAAACCTACGAAAGCATAGCCTGGCAAGCCATCCTATATATCTATATAGAGATCCATTAGCTGCCTTCAAAAGACACGCCACAATACTGCCGCCACAGAGGCAGCATGGCGACGTGGGAATATTGTGTGCTTGTGCAGCCAAGCTTGATAGAAATATTACCGAGATGGCTGACTTCTGAATGAAGATCATGCCTTTGGGCAATGTCATGATGTCATGATCACATGTGGAATGTAAGCCGAGCCCCGGCCGGCATCGGAGTCCATTTCTCATTTGTAAACAGAATCAGCCGAGACGGCAAACTGGATTGATGTAGAACTCCAGCAGCTGCTAGTCATTAGAGCTGAAGCACAGATCACCAGACGGCCCACAGGGACAGCCTACTTTGCAAAACAACTGAAGGATAGCGTGTATAATCTGGGAAAAACACGTCTAAGCTAAAAGACAGCGTAAAGGCCGCCCCACACCCCCTTTCTACCGCCATCGTGTCATTTCTTATGAAAAACTCGTGATCACACCACATTGCCGTCACAGGCTGAACACTTATGAATGACCAAAAACTCCCTGATGTCACCTCCACTTTGCAGCAAAGTTTTGCCGTTATTGACCACCCGGCAGCGGGGTGGAATTACGGGTTTCGTTCAAACCGTCTCTGCAACCAGTTGGGCAGTACAAGGACCAATCAGAGCAACGAACAACTCAGCGTAATGAAAATTAGTCAACAGCTCGTCTTTTGAAGAAGAAGCAAATACATCTTTTTTGGAATAAATGACTTAAGTACCTCTATCTGCTCACGTCTTAAAGAAAAGCACAAGTTTAAATCGTCCAAAGTTGATGCCAAAGCCATTTCAAACAAGCGCAGTTCCTGAGCAGACGCCATCTTTGTAGTTTTTCTCCATCGCAGCTATAGTGCAAAGCCCGCCCAACAAGCGTAGAGGGCGAGACACAAAACTGTTTGGGTCAGTGGTAGACCTGCTGAGGCTACAAAGGACGGTGGCCAGACCGACCTGGAGCTAAAACGTTTAGCTACTGCTAACGCTAACCCCAACAAAAGCATATGTGTGGCTCCAAAGCTGGTGCTGTTAACGTTTTAGTTCTTGGAAACAAAATGTCTAATAAGAGCACAAATAAAAGGTTCTGACGTTGATTAACCACAGGTTCTTTAAAGACATAAATTATGAAACAATAATGCTTCATGTGTTGGAACAGCAGACATAAAACTCCCATTAGCATCCATGCATATGCAGTAATAAAAAAACAAACTGAATCTAGTGCGGCTTTGGGGAATGATACATTCACAGCGCCGGCATCATGCCACTCCTCTCACCCAAGTTAAAAATGGAAATCACAATGACCCAAAGACTCATTTTCCCAGTAGATGTGTGGAAATCAGAGCTCTGCTCCAGAGGAACTCTCGAACAGCCACAAGAGCGAGAGAGACAGGTTAACTACCAGCTTTCAGTTGCTCCATTTCAGTGTTTCACTTTCCACACAAGGAGCTTTCCCATTCCTTTTGAAACCTCAGATCTCATCCTCTGATGTTGTTTGTCTCTTTTCACGCATTTCTCAAACTACTGATCATCCATCCATCCCTTTTCTAAACCCGCTTATCCACGCAGGGTCGCCTATCTCCAGCAGTCTGGGCAAGCAGGCGGGGCACACCCTGGACAGATTGCCAGTCCATCGCAGACTATTGATCATCTTTATTCAAAATTCGAATGCTTCAGTTCTCAAACGAGTCTTGTCCTTCAAAAACCACGAACTGGATGACAGAGCCCTGGTATATAAGCAACCACTAAATAAATGAATAAAACATTAATTGAACAGTTTGTGTCTGGTGATTGATACTAGTAGAGATGCTTTCACAAAACCTGACTAGCGATCAGAAGTGGACGTTATTAATAACTAACTCTAAAGGCTCAAAATTGCCCAGGCTTTCCACTGGATGAGTAAGCGGTTCTTAACGTAATAGACGTGTTTTACCTGCCGTTCGTGTCAGCGGACATGGTAGGGTCGGGGAGGGGCATGACGCTTAGCCTGGCAGGTGGCCAAGCAAAGCCTGGCGGGAAACCCTGAAAGAGCAAATCCTTATTGACTCCCATGTTAAAAATGCCAATTTCACAACAGAAACAAACATGTTTACAGCCTGGTCCAAGAAACCATTTTAGGTTTAATAGATCTAGTTTATGTTCATGACAACTCTGAGTGGGTGGATTGTTTTGTAACTCTTCTCTTTAAGCGGAATTGAAAGCTTTAAATTATGAATAATTTGATTTGATTGACAGGTAGCATTAGCCATCAGAGCTTGTGCTAGCGGCTAGCTCTGAGATAGGCCTCACGTTGATTGATGTTCAGCCATTTAGACTCTCTGAATGTTAGTCTTGTCCTCTGATTGTTCGTGTTTGGATGTTAATCTTGGAATTATTTGGACAAAGAAGGCAAGCTGTGGTTATTGACCAACTGATCATACAAGAGGTCTCTGCTTCATTCTTTTCAGTATTATATTTCTGTACTTTATTTTGCTGGTTGAATGGGGGAAACGCTGTCATTTGACATAACACTGCTTGGTCAACAAAGGTTGAATTTAGACGTGTTGGTGGGGCTGCCTGGGTACCAAAATTCGATGCGTGCATCACTTTTGAGTCGCTCAACCACATTTTTCTAGCTAAATGTGCCCGAAAACATCCAGTAGCTTCGGGTTAGCTACCTGGCTTCAAGCTCGGTGTAGCTTTGGTTAGCATGTTATAGCTACACTGGCTTTATTCTTGCTTTTTCCCCAAAAATACCATGAAACGGCACTACTACAACTACAAAATGATTTGCTTTTCAGACTAAATCTGTTGGTTTATATTTATGAATAATATTTATTTGAAATTCACAACCTTCTAAGGGTGGGCAACTGGCAACCACAAGTGTCAAGTAACAAGCCAGAACATGCTTGTTTTCAAACTTGAGCAACCATATTTTTTGCGTAATCACGAACAGAGGTGCCTGAAAAAAAAAAAACGGTTTGTGATTCTTATTCCCAAAGTTTCCAAATCAATCCTATCCGAAAGCATTTATGCAAACTGCAGTATTTCCCAGCGTCCCTGAAGGCTTCATCGCTGGAGCCAGGCTAGCTGTAGCTGCTAGCACTGCAATCTGCTGAAATACGGCACAGACTCACATCTATGATTACCCAGTTCTGAACCAAGTTCTGTTACGCTTTCCAATGTTTAAATGGTGTTATCCTGTGTGGTTTGTGTGTTGTTTCATGCACCTTGCATAACTGACGCTCGTTAAGACTAATTTGCGCCTGTTAGTCATGTGTTCAATGATAAATGTTACATGGTTCTACATGATACTGGATGTTAAAACCTGTTCATTCATTCAAGATGTTTCAAACATTCTCTTTTTCCCAAGTTTCTTCAGAACACACACATTTACACACACCTTCTAGTCTACACTCTGGTTGACACTTTGTCACAAAAAAATAAAAAAATAATGATTAAGATCAATTCTGAATCAAATCAGGGTATCCGCGGGTCCTTAAAAGGTCTTAAAATGTCTTAAATGTGCTTTTCCAAATTTAAGGCCATGAAAATCCTTAAAACTGACAAATAATCCTTAAATACAGTTTCCAAAGGTCTTAAATTACCAAAGACCCAATAAACAACATTATTTCATTTCTATAAAATTTTCGTGAATTCGTCAAAAGTTAGTGTTCAGCATTTTATGTGTATGATATTGGCATAAGCGAAACAGTACACATTCAGTTGGTTGTGAAAAGGGGGTATTTTTAGCACATTAGCTGGTTGAGCTTGCGCCATGGGGAAGTGCAAGTTTAATGGTAACTGGATGGATAATCCCACGTTCGCAACATGGTTAGCACCGGTTCCAGGCAATAGCTGGAAATTATAGCTTAAATTTAATTTTAAAAATTGCTTCAATTTGGTCAAAGTGTCTTAAAACGTCTTAAATTTGGCTCTCTTAAACCTGCA